ATGAGGTATCGATATAATTTGTATCAATTGACATACTAAATCGTGCACATTTACATTTAAAATTCAGCTATTGTGACAAAACCGATATATGCAGGTCTTCATCTGTGCTTATTTCGGAACACAAAGGATTTATCAAGCACATGCTCCTGCTATAATTGACAATCATGGTAGTGATATTTTGTACGACTGTGCTGAACAATTAAACTGGCAGTGAAACAATTACTAACCGAAGAATACGGCTTGATTTCATGAATAATATAGTATCATATCTAATTTAATTCATGTACAAAGGATAACCATCGGTCATATAGGAGGAATGAGGTAGTCCGGCAAAATGTAATACGCACGTTGAGATATTATGCTATTTTATGTGAATGTCAGACATAATCCCCTTCGGACAAAATCCCCTTCGCCTACCCAGACAAAATCCCCTTCATGGGTGGACATAATCCCCTTCATGTTTTTGCAAGGCTGGACAAAATCCCCTTCACTACCCGGACAAAATCCCCTTGTTTCATAGGTTTCTAATGTATTATTATGCTCCATAAAAATTGACGTATAATTATACTTCCTAAAAATTGATGAATAATGAACTTTTGTTTTTTATTTAAAATTATGTATCAATAGTTATTTAGTTTAGAAGTTTTGATTAAAATTATGGTAAATTATCAACTGCATAACACATATTTGATTAGGCAATTTCTTTAATTATTTTAAATTGATTAGTATGAAAAACATTTTTATTAGCCAATAATTGTTTTATTGATTGTATAAGTTGATAATTCTAATTGATATATACTATCCATTGTTACCATTTCTTTTGATGAAAAAGTGATAATTTAATCAAACCAAGATCACTGCACTAATTAATTGATTGTTATGAATGCTTTAACAAAGCAATTTTGATGTGATTAAAATGTGCTAATTGAATGTGCTTTTCTGCTGAAATATTTTCTACTTATTTATACATTAAGCTCTCATACCCCCTTTATAAACCGAAAATTCCTCCGAGAGGGATTTTGTCCTAGGTAGCAATTTTATGAAGGGGATTTTGTCCACTTCAAATTTTCACACATGAAGGGGATTATGTCCATCCATGGAGGGGATTATGTCCAGATATGCAAAAATACATGAAGGGGATTTTGTCCGAAGGGGATTATGTCCGTACACCATTTTATGTATCCTCTGACCCAGAAAAAAATGTCTCAGAATCTAGCTATGGCATAATATTAATCAAAATATTATGACTAAGATAAATGATTTTTATAGCTTGTGAGTTGTTCTTTACTGAGGGTTCTCGAAATCTTCATTTATTTGTTATAGTTTAATCGGATACAGGTAGATAAATTTGATAAACATTAATTTTATAAAATATTATGTCATAAATCTGGCGTAATGTGTTTATTTAGCAGGGCTTTAAAGCCAGCTTAAGACAGTTATAAAATATAGTTTAGACTTAAGTTAAAAACAAAAGCAATCTTCACGCTTTGAATCAAACAAATTTCAAGAAATAAAATGAACGGCAGACAAAACTATTTAGCTGAAGAAACAATTCAGTAATGTCAAATGTCACACTTAATATTAAAAAGAATGTTAAGTGTATATCAAAGACGAATTCTACAAGCAGATTGTCCCCAGGGAACAATCTAATACTCTTGATTATGCAGATATCGTGTGCGTATAAAGAAAGTGTGAATGCATCAGCTGTAATGTTTTCAAAGTTGCGCAATCAGTATTGTAGATCAATCACACTGCTTCAATAGCGCGTAAAAGTGTATAAAAATACTTGACATTTGACCATTGGAGGAGAACTATTGACAAATTTGACAAAAAGACGATTGTTTATTTTTGTCGCCTGCTGAGCAAGCTAAAAAGGCTAGAGATCATAATAGCCGAACTTAGAATATAAGTAATAAAGATTTCCATTGTCTCTGAAAGATAGATCAATTCAAATATGTCAAAAAAATCTACAAGTTACCTTTAACAGCGGGTTCTACATACACTCTGGATTACGCCATGTCAAGTAGGAATACCTGAATACATGTATGTCTATTTACAATGAAAAGGATACAGTACACTTATAATATCAAATACAGATTACCAAATAGGCAATATATATATAGCGTTGTATACGTAGAATTTAATACTGTTTATGCCTACGTTATATTCTTGCAGAATGACCTGTCCTGTTTTATTTATCATAACAAATATGTTTTGGTCATTGACCTCCCACCACAAAATACAATTCTTTACAAAACAACTACTTAGTATATTGGGCCTTCATCATATCGTTGTACAGTCACCTTGCGTACGGCAACCCCAAGAATGGTCATTGGCCTCACAGGTGCTCGTCCAGTCTTGGTGCCCATATAAAAAAATGAAGTTTAAAAAAAAAATTGAAAAAAAAAAATTTTAAAAAAAAAAAAAAAAAAAAAAAAATTGAAAAAAAAACACATCAAAATAACTATTTTAGGGTTGAGTGTAAGAAAAAAAAAATTTGAAAAAATTTTTTTTTTTCCTATATACCATTACTATGAAAAGGTCACCTAGTCGCCGTAACGCTACGGAGCTTTACTAGGACACGCTGTGGAACAACCAAAATGTCGAGTTCTGTAACAATACAAGCTATTTTGCTACTCTTTACACATCGTGCATTTAGAAAATTGTTAACATTCTTCATCTACCTTACATACAATCTTAAATAACTTACATTTTAACTCGGACACTCCAATTTGTTAAAATCTTCCAAATTCCGTTGATGGTCGGCCATTTTGTCAAAAACGAAAGTACAAAACATACATCGTACTGTTCCGCTCTCCTGGTTTCCTACGACTACGTGCGAGGAACAGTAGACAACGGTAACCATCAATTTATTGGTTACTGTTGTCTATTGTTCAGCGAACGTAGTCGTAGGGGACCAGAACAACGAAACAGTACGGTGTATGTTTTGTACTTTCGATTTCGACAAAATGGCCGACTATCACTGTTGTTTTGCAAAATTTTAACAAATTGGAGTGTCCGAGTTAAAATGTAAGTTATTTAAGATTGTATGTAAGGTACAATAAGAATGTTAACAATTTTCTAAATGCACAATGTGTAAAGAGTAGCAAAATAGCTTTTATTGTTACAGAACTCGATATTGTGGTTGTTCCACAGCGTGTCCTAGTAAAGCTCCGTAGCGTTACGGCGACTAGGTGACCTTTTCATAGTAATGGTATATAGGAAAAAAAAATTTTTTTTCAAATTTTTTTTTCTTGCACTCAACCCAAAATAGTTATTTTGATGTTGTTTTTTTTTTCAAATTTTTTTTTTCAAAATTTTTTTTTTTTCAAAATGTTTTTTAAACTTCATTTTTTTCATATGGGCACCAAGACTGGACGAGCACCTGTGTGTATGTTTTGTACTTTCGTTTTTGACAAAATGGCCGACCATCAACGGAATTTGGAAGATTTTAACAAATTGGAGTGTCCGAGTTAAAATGTAAGTTATTTAAGATTGTATGTAAGGTAGATGAAGAATGTTAACAATTTTCTAAATGCACGATGTGTAAAGAGTAGCAAAATAGCTTGTATTGTTACAGAACTCGACATTTTGGTTGTTCCACAGCGTGTCCTAGTAAAGCTCCGTAGCGTTACGGCGACTAGGTGACCTTTTCATAGTAATGGTATATAGGAAAAAAAAAAATTTTCAAATTTTTTTTTTCTTACACTCAACCCTAAAATAGTTATTTTGATGTGTTTTTTTTTTTCAATTTTTTTTTTTTTTTTTTTTTTTTTTTAAAAAATTTTTTTTTTTCAATTTTTTTTTTAAACTTCATTTTTTTATATGGGCACCAAGACTGGACGAGCACCTGTGAACATACATCGTACTGTTCCGCTCTCCTGGTTTCCTACGACTACGTGCGAGGAACAGTAGACAACGGTAACCATCAATTTATTGGTTACTGTTGTCTATTGTTCAGCGAACGTAGTCGTAGGGGACCAGAACAACGAAACAGTACGGTGTATGTTTTGTACTTTCGATTTCGACAAAATGGCCGACTATCACTGTTGTTTTGCAAAATTTTAACAAATTGGAGTGTCCGAGTTAAAATGTAAGTTATTTAAGATTGTATGTAAGGTACAATAAGAATGTTAACAATTTTCTAAATGCACAATGTGTAAAGAGTAGCAAAATAGTTTTTATTGTTACAGAACTCGATATTGTGGTTGTTCCACAGCGTGTCCTAGTAAAGCTCCGTAGCGTTACGGCGACTAGGTGACCTTTTCATAGTAATGGTATATAGGAAAAAAAAATTTTTTTTCAAATTTTTTTTTTCTTACACTCAACCCAAAATAGTTATTTTGATGTTGTTTTTTTTTTCAAATTTTTTTTTTCAAAATTTTTTTTTTTTCAAAATGTTTTTTAAACTTCATTTTTTTCATATGGGCACCAAGACTGGACGAGCACCTGTGATTGGCCTGTAGGAATTGAAAAAATATCTTGGTTGAACGCTGTTATAAATTTTGTGCTGATGACCGATTACCCAGTCACTGCAGAAATTAGAAAAATATATACTTACAGTATACTGTAGATCTAATTATAGATCTATATGTATATATAAATCTAGGCGGATGATGATTTACCAGCCTATCATTCGTTAAAAATAGATAAAAGGATTTTACTAAAGTCGCACAAAATCCACTTTAATTAATATCAAGTTCGATTAGTTTAAACTGACTTATATAGATCTATACAAATATATTTTATGTTGACTTGTTTAAATTAATTGGCCTTCGGGTCGCATCAACATATATAAATTTACATTAAATATATTTGTCTTTGTTATAACCATGATCATTACAATGTCGTGTAAGCTAAATAAAATGTTCTCCATTTTCTAGTAATCATTCACAAAGTTTAAACGACTCGAGTGGTAAAGTAAAACGAAATCATAGTGGAACAAGCTGAACTCCCTACAGAAAGAAATATTGTGGACTGATCGACTTTTGGGCCGCTTACGCTCATGACGAATTGAATCAGCTGTTCGTCAGAAGTGAACCAGCTAGTGAACGGGACGTTTCAATTAAATTAACGCTTTAATAAAATAATTGGAAAAAACTTAGACGGACGAACAAAATAATTAAAAGAACTGTTATTAGATATAAGTGTAGATCTATATATTTTACTTTAAACGAAATAATAATTTGAATAATTTTAGTTCGTCTGCTTGGCGATCGATTTGACATGGAAAATTCCACAGTGCCAGAAACAAAGAAAGATGTTTTAAAGATGGTGCATAAGTTTAAAACAACATTTCAACGACTGTTAAGTAGAGAAAATCAAAATGTTATCGAGACAGATTACGAAAAGTGTGAAACAAATACTGATATTGGTAAGTTTCTTTGTTTCTTTCTTTGAGGGGTGGTCTCAATATTATTTTGAGTAAGAATATGAACAATATATTTTCTGATCTATTCTGCCACCTGCATGTGCATTTCCTGTATATGACAATCACATCATTGACATAATGATTTTAATGTTAATTTAAATTTTTATGTCACAAATTATTTCAGGCATGTTGCAATTCCAAATTTTTGACAGGTTATTTTAATTTTGAGAACGTCCCTATAGAACTATCAGCTGTTGACAAAGATCAAAATAGGCAAGTTTTCACATTTACGCTTTAAGGGCTTTTGTACCCAAAATAAAAATTTTAGGGTACCATTTACTAAATTGTTATTTCAATTCTTTGAATTTTCAGAAAAGAAAGTGTTTGGAACACAAAAGGATTGGATGAATTTATTTGAAGACCCCAGTGAAGATGCTAAGTGCAACCAGGTTAGTGAAAATTTTACATTTTACAGTCATTTGTAATTTGTCTACAATTGAATGTTTAAAATATATTATTAGCAAAATACCAATTTTTGCAACAGCAATGAGTTTGCTTTGGTTAAAGTTTAAACCAGTATCCCTGTTTCTCGTATTCTCGGGGTTCTCGTATTCTCGTGGAATCATTAAAACGGATGGAAGCGACGCTCGCGACTTCCGTCGATATCCGAAAACATGTCTATTTAGCAGAGCATTTTCATCTCCATTAAAAGAAATAAAAGAAATGCGACAAAAACAGATAAAAAACCAAAATAACCGTGGAAATAATCGTAAAATGCAAGAGAATAACATTAAATTTTATCAATTTCCCCCCAAAAATCATCAATTTTCTAGTTTTTTTTTTCCATGTTGCAGAAAACCTTTAGCGGGTCTCTGACGCAAAACGCTTTCAAATGACGGTTCTCACACTACTATTTATACATACAGCTCAAAATTCTTGTTCCACGAATAGATAGTATAAAAAAGATATGAACTCCAATTAAAAACCAATAATGAAACATTGTTTGTCCTAAACACATTTCTTTTTTGACAACTGCAATGGAAAACAGTAGTATTCATTGTTTAATGTTCATATAACTAATAAGTAACTAATAAATAAACGTAAACTTAATAGATAAAACTCTATATATTAGAGAGATAATGTAAATAACAACACTAAATGGAGTTCAAACTATTTTTGGAACAATCAATATCATTTGGTACCAAAGAGGCGTCAATATGATCCTTAAAGTTTGATATGGCCTGCCAAACACAATAAAATTACAGATTTAGGCCATTTAACACTTAATTAGGTGTGGCACTAATGATTTGAACTGGTATGTAGAATAAAATCATCACATAGCGACCAGCCTTAACAACCAATCAAATTCCACGAGAATACGAGAAAGCACCTGCATCACATAGAGGGTGAAGGTCAGTATATACAAGCAGAAATATCTTTAGTTTTGCTTACAGTTACGATCTTTCTTTCTTTGTATTTTGTTAAAAAGGTATTTCTCTGTGTATCAGGCTAAAAATACCGTAACATAATGTTTTATAAATATTATGAAACCAAGTTTAGTCCTTAACCCCCCGAGAATACGAGAAAACAGGATAGTAATTTAATTAACTAAATATCTTTTACATGAAACAAATTAGGTACATCCGACTGTAACCATATTTATGACATTTATCCCTTGTCGAGACAATGAAAAAGGATTGTGTTTTATATGGCAATTTTAATGATATCAGTGGCAAAAACAAAATGCTTTGACAGTAATTCCTTTTTAAGTGGCATGACCAGAGCACAGGTGCTTATAAAGTTATATACTATAATAAGATATATATCTTAATATACATTATATTATGTAAAATATTTGATTTATCATTATGTGACTAGCCCCGGTGGACCAGAAAGATTCCCATGATTTACTCTATAAATTGACCTTTACCAAAATGCAAACTTGTACAGCTATTTGTCAATGGATCTACTTAGCCCTCCTGATTTTTACGTTTTATTGTTTTCTTCCATATCTTTTAGACAATTTATGTCTTGCGATTTTTCAATGATATTTTTCTCTCATTTTATATATGTTGCATCACAAAGTTACAGAATTATATAAATATTTCATAGATTTCTTTATAGTTCAAGTTTTATGAAAAGGGTTTAACTGATAAATTTAGATTTTACTTTATTCAGTTTTATGACAATAAAAGTGTAATCAAGTTGTCAGATAGTGTATCTACACAGATCTATACATTTAGTTATTTTAACAGGATATTTCCTGAAACCATCCTTCAAGTAGAAGGGATGTGAATTAAGAAAATTAGTCTATATATACTTTTATTAATATGGAAAACAATTACATTACATCAATGAAGGAGTTATTCGAAAGAATGAAGTAGATCTTATCAATTAAATAGATTAATTGTTCATAGATCTATTTTTATTGATTGCAAGGTGGGGTTGCGTATTGAAATTTAAAGTTGTGTAAATTTCTTTTTATTTATAATAAAACTTTTCTTTTCAGTTTGCTAAACACATTGAGGATGGTCTTAAAGAGGCAAGAGAAAAACACTTGAAATGTGAAATCTTGATTCCATGTGGACTGACAATGCGTATAGCACGTGACATATTAATAATGTCCGAGAGCGAGCCTTGTGGGGTTCGAGGTTGTTCACTCATCATTCACCTGCAGGAAAAATCAAATTGCACTGAGCTGGTAAAGCTTCAGTATGACCCTACTACAGTATCAACATTTGAAATTCATTTAACTTTGCAAGAAGATACACGACATGTTGTAAGTGTTAGAAAAATGATGATGCAGCTGACTGGATGTTTCAAGCACTCCACATACAAATCAACACCGAAAATGTTGTGTTTAGCATACAAGTTAGAAAAACAGAAGTTATACAGGGCAAATTGTTAGCTTTCTTTGAAAGAATTTAACTACTGCAATTCAGACTGATGTGCCAATTCTTAAATGAAGCTGTAATATTAATTTACATGTGATATTAAACCAGTAAAACTTAAATTATTCTAGTACTACCTAATATTATATTTCACACATGAGTTTTGTTTTCCTGATTTAATAGCATGTGTACTTTAAGAAAATGTTGCAATAGAGAAAGACACTTTCTTTGAACAAAATTGTTTTTGTACCTATTTGTTTATATGTACAAACGTTTATGAATTTTCTTTCATCCATAATGTGTTCAACAGTTTTCAAGTGGGTTAACTTTATTGTTTTTCTTCAAAGAATTTTAAAAATGTTGTACTGATCTCCCAACATGTTTTGACACAAAGCATTCCACTCATTGCTTAGCCTAACAAGCTTTAAAATGTGCTATTATTCTTGTCATTGATTTAAAAGTTTAACCAGTTGAGATCATTTGATAATTTTATTTACTTTTTTTTTTAATATTACAAGTTGGATACTGCTAGCTTCTGTGTACTCTGATTTATTTTCTAGATTAGTTAATTTTCTAGATTAGTTTTATTGTAATTTGTTTTAAATGTATGTATATTTATGTTATATTTAAGTTTAAGATTATACACACTAAAGTGGATTACATTCCATACAGGTTTTACACTATGTCTTTCAAGAGCAAATTGCAAAGATTCAATATATTCATATTTCATTTTTTCATGATTGTTAGTTTGAATGCAGGCAGTATATGTTTTGATGCATACCTCTTAATTTATTTATAATATATTTAATATAACGCATTTAGTTTCTTGTGATCAGGTAAAAGTAAGAAAAGTTTTCCAAATGATGTTAAGAAGTAAGGATAATAAACTCAAAACAAATTGAAATTCAATTTAATTAAACTGAAATATTAAGTTTAGAATAAAACATTTTATTGTGCTTATTCATACTTGTAACTGGATGACGTTTTTTTTTCTCGTCATGATGTTAATATTAAAGGTGGGAGTCAAAAAAATAAATATTAATCAATAGGTTGTTGCCTGTTTCCCCCAAAATTGTGTCATCCATTTTCAGGATGTTTATAAATACAAAGTTTTATGCAATCTTATGGTTTTTAATGGAAAAATGAATATCAACAAAATTTTTTAGCAATCATCATACACATGATAACTAGTCATATTCAATTTTTCATTATAAAAAGTCACGATTTATCTAAAAAAATGATTCAAGTGTTTGTCTGACCATGAGGATAATCTGTTTGTCCTATGATTCTGAGGTTATATTTTGTGGCTGTATATTTCATTAAGACAAAATCTTTTATGGTTATTAACCATTGATTTACATTGATACTAACATACCACTCCTGTAGTATATTGTTTAATGATGTGCTATAAATACTGAATATGTACTAAGTTATGTGTCTCGCTACAGAGATTTGCACTTGATGGTATACTGTTACTATATATGGGGATGGATACTGGTTTAAGTAGTATCAATACACTACTGTATTGTACTATCTACCTTGAGTCCTTGTAAAGTGAAGATAACTGTAATAGCTGTAATGGTTCAGTAAGAATATGAATCAAGTTGCTAAAGTGAAATATTAGTATAATCCTTTAGTTACCTTTGTGCTTTTTTGCTTTTTTTTAAAATTTTAAAAAAAATTGTGTTTTTAAGGTCCATTTTAATTTCCCATATAAATTTTTGGGTAATTAATCTTAAAAAAAGGGTTTTTTTGGGGGCCCTTATTAAAAAAATTTGCCCTTTTCTTTGGGAAATTTTTCTTTTTTTGGTTTTTTTTTTACCGATGAAGTAAAGTAAAGAACAGTCATGACACTAGGAGAAGGATAAGAAACAATTTTTAGCTTGAATAAATTCATGTTCTCTAGTCAGGCTATATGAATTAATGGTAAGCTTGAACACGACTAAAATGTCTTTTCTCACATTTTTGATTGAATCATATAGTGTAAGATCTTATATGACGGCGGGGGGGGGGGGGGGGCATTTCAGAATGAATAATTAATTTTAGTAAATGTAACATATTAATTAGAGATTTTCTCTGTTAGACAAACTTACAATGTAAGAATGAATTTGGGACAATATTATTTGTTTGAATTTACATTAACATTGATATTACAGCAACTTTTTCGGGGAAACCCAATTATTAAAGTCTGAATTTGTCTTTACTTTCAACTTGAGTTGGTAAATTGGTGAAAACAGTAAATAGTTAGAATCTCAAAATAAATGAATTCAATTCATTGCAATTATTTGGTGTCCTATTAAATAAAAGAAACATGTGTTATATTTGTGCTATTGTTTAACAGTAACTTTGTGCTGCATTTTTACAACAAAAATGTGTAGACTATCAGATTTCAAAATATATTGTATGTCACTTAATTGTAGTTTCAGACTTGAGTATGTGATACATTGTCTTTCATTTGTGTACATGAACAAGTTTTGTGAAACAAAATGGACTCACATGGTTTGCTCTCTTTGAGTCGCTTGGATTGTCCTACTTAGAGATTATAGAAATTATTAGTTTGATGATTGTAGTTGTCTTTTTTTTTTTTTTCATTTGTGAGTGATGGTAGCAAAGTAAAATAGTATACTGTGGCTAACTGTTTCACTGTAAGTGATGTATATTTGGTTGTATGTTGTGTTTCTTTACTTAGATTTAGAAATTTGTGATAATTATATTGATGATACTACCAATAAATTATTTTATGATGACATTATTGTTTTCTTTGTCATACAAGTGTTCATTATGATAAACCTGACATTAATATGCACCAATTAAGTTTATAGGGTACTGATAAGTATTTTTAACTTAGGTTGGTATTGTCCAGTAGAGTAAAAGGGACCTTGGGGCTTCAAAATAGAACATAGCAGCACAACAATTAACCCCCCCGGCAGATTAATTGGTGTAAAACAATATCTTGACAACTGCCATATTAATCAACAAAGCACAAATGGTGGGACAATGCAGTAATCCCTTGACCTTTTTGAAATGTTGCTGTTTGATATCTATATATTCATATTTTTTCAATGAAATTGAACAAGATATAGACATTTCAAAATCATAAATTGAACAAATTGTACTTCTTATTGCAATAGAAGTTAAAAATTTAAAATTTGCATAAGCAGAGAAAAGTCCTTGATTATCTTCTACATAGTCCACATGATGATAATCATAATTTAATATGCAAAGGTAAATCATTATCATATACAACATTAATTAGTGATTATACCATAGACCAGACACTTGAATATTTCTTATCAAATTAATCAATAATGAATCGCCATAAAGTGAACAGGAAGGTTGATGCATCACTATATTTCCTGACAAGAGTCGTTCCTCTAAATGGTTGTCATCCAGGAACACTTGAAAATAATACATCCCATAATTGCAAACTCTTTCCTTGTTCAAAAATTTTGGTAAAGTAACAAATAATTGGGAAATCAGAATATTTTTTCTGAAATCTAAGCTTGGATGTGAAAAAAAGGTTAACAGAGAAAAGTGTGTAAAAGAATTTGAACATATCAATGAGTGCGTAATGGTTAACTCAGTTTTGAAAACAGTTATTAATGTAAATATTCCACTAAAAAGTGACACTATATGATTTGATATGTAATAATACAAATGAATAAGTTAATTCAGTTTTAGATGATATGCAGAAACCAGGCTTAACCATCTGACAAGGCTTATTCTGATGCTTTACAAGGGGCAAAAATGCGACCTGAATACGGTCATGCCCATTATGCACAGAGGACGGTCAGTTGAGACTGACTTCTCATCACACAATCAATTTGAATGGATTCCAACCACATTTCCACTTTTTAAAAAATATACCAGAAGTCTGACAGACCAGTTCCTTGCAGAAATCAAGTGGTTACCACAATCACTTATCAGAGCAACAAGAGTGATCATGTGTCATCTGATGATAGCCAACTAAGCAGTTGTATTGAGGGGTGATAAAAGAAATGGACTGTTAGTTCATTGTATGCCACAAAATATGTCTCTCATCCAAGAGCCATTCAGCTAAATTCATTCAACCGGAAAACCGATAAATCCTGTAAAGTTTCATTCAAATTGCATTAGCGGTGTAAAAGAAGTCCTGACAAACTTTAAAAAAACACATATATTATTTAAGGGCCATAACTGGAAAATTCTGACACATGACGTGGTACTTAACATTCGTTTGTATGAAATTGCACCAGTAATTTTTTAGTAGTCCTGCAAGTTTTGTGACAAACAATGAAGATCCCTTAATGTCATCAAATACTTATTGGTGGCAGAAGAACAAAAATTATGTAAAGTGAAATGATTTTTCAGGCATAGGATGCTCTAAAGCTTTAAAATACAATAAATAAGTCACTGGTAGTTGTTTATCTGACAATGCTTAACATACCTAAGCTTAGCAGTTACCAAGGAGAAAATTTTACAAGGTATCTCCTATAAAGTCAAGTGATCCCTGGAATGTGGCCAATTTTGACCTTGGCAGATGATTTTAATAAACTTAACAATTAACAAAAGCATTTATACATAAAATGACAACAAAATTTAAGTACTTTTTAAAGGATAATTTTGTAATTTTTAAGGGCAGTTTCTGGTTGCCCTTTTATTTGATCCCAATCATTTCATTTTGAAGAGCATTTTTCTACATATAATGTTTACATTACTTTGTTTTCGATATATCTAACATAATTAGTAATAATAGTAATTCCATGAAAAAATCCTGATTAACTCACTTTTTTATCCCTATTGTGAATGTCTTCTGGTTCAAATAAAAATAACTATTTGAGTTAAAATGATGCCCAAGTTGAAAACTAAAAATCTTTTATTAATTAAAGGGCAAATACTACAAGTACTGAATAAATCCACAAGAAACCCCAAGGTGCATAATTACACATGCTGACCAACATTCTTGTAACTTTCAGGCTACATGTCATAAATTTTTGAGTTACGTGCAACACAAGTTAAATATTGTAAATTTTTACTAAGTCAAGGGCAATAACTCTAAAAATACTAAATGTATCCACATGAAAATACCCAGGTGCACAACTTCACATGCTGATCAACATTCCTGTAAGGTTTCATGACTCTAGGTCAATTACTTTTTGATCTACGTGCGACACAAAAGGGAACAGACAGAAGGATGGACCGACAGATGGAGCGGTAGATCTAAATGCTCCCCCTATAGTGGGGGCACAAAAATTGTTCACAGACTTCCATTTATCATCAAATTTTTAATTTTTTAAAAGTGTATATATTATTTTAAAAAAAGCCCCTATTTTTAAAAATTTTAATTAATTACTTCAACTTTTACTAAAAAAACTATGTGAAAAAATAAAAATTGGGAAAAAATTGGGTTTATTTTTTTAAAAAACCGGTATAAAGGGGGGCCCGTAACATTTAGGCCTTTAAAATTTTTAAAGTGGGTTAAAACTGTTGGAGGCCCAAAAAATTTTTTTTGTTGGTTTAAAAACAATTTTTAAAAATTAAAATTGGGGAAAAAAAAATATGTATAAAATTTAAAAATCAAAAATTAAAATTTTTTTTCCCAAAAAGGTATGAAAAGGGGAAATAATCACATCAAAATAAATTTTTATTTCCCCCTGTTTAAATTACTGCCCTTGAAGTATACTCAAAGATTATTTAAAATAAACATTTTTTGGGGTTTTAAATTTTTTGTAAAAGTTGCCCGGGAAAGGTAAAAAATGATCCCTTTGGAGCATTTAAAACAGCAAAATTACATGAAAATTGCAGACTCGGTTTGATTCGGAGTCTGTGACAGTGATATCCAGTTATGATTTCCAGTTAAGATACATATTATGTGATGTTTTAGGCTGATGATAAATATAACTTTTAACAACATCAAAATAAAAAACACCCTATTTGCAAATTTATTACTTATGCCCTTGTTGCATAACTTTTACATATTATTTGAGAGATAATATTATATGCAATAAGGTTGTAAGTATTAGTGACCTCAACTAAACTATTTGGCTGTATGATTTAATCACCACTGGATTTGACCCTATACTTCGCTGAAAGAGAAACATTCATTGTATCTCTTTAACAAATATGGAAGACTTCAGTCTATAAATAAAGGCTGTATGAGGAATGATAAAAACTCTTTTCTTCCAACCCATTGATTCAAGACTCCACTGAAAGATAGAGAAAGGATAGAGAAACATTAAATAGAGGATATTGAATAATTGTAACTGAATTTATTGCACAAGTTGAATAAAATTATATTATGCGAGCCAATGGTGAGCACAATATTATTTTTACAAGTATTATTATCACATACCCAAAATAATTCTATAAATTAAGGCTGTATGAGCAAGCGATAAAATCTTTTAACATCAGTGAAATTTTTCTTGAACCCATTGACCCTAAACTCAACCTAAATTTAGTAGACTACCCATGGCATCTATCTACTAATTATGAAAGACATCTGTCAATACATATAATCATGTTGTATACTAGTAAATACTTGAAAAATAAACAGATGGTTAACTTTATTATTGGCTTTCAGGAATATCTGCCTTTAAAAATGCATTTTAAATTGATAGTACTCAAAGAAAAGTACTTTCACAAAATTTTCAAAATTACCTAGTTTTACACCCAAGATGACCCAAAAAAAATTATTTAAATTTTAATTAAAACATTTTTAAGAAATTAAAGATTTTTGTAAAAATTTAACTCCTTGCCTTAAAGAATTCCAAGTTACAAATATTAGAAAAATAAAACCCGCGGAAAATTTTAACAAAGAGTTTTAAAAAAAAACTTTAAGAAAAATAAAATTTTAAAGAAATGCTTAGCCGTTTGAGTTTTAAAAAATTTTTAATTTTTCAAAATTTTTGCCCTTTTTGGAATTACCGGGGCTTTTCCCCAGGTTTATTAAAAATCTTTGCATTGAAATTTTTTCTTTAATAATTTAAAAATTTTTTTTTTAAAAAAGAATTTAACTTTGCTTTAAAAAATCATATAGGCGGGGGAAATTTTTTAACGGTTTTAAACCCCCGTCCCTAAAACCAGTTTCCAAAAACTAGTTTTTAAAAAATTTTTAAATTTTACTAAAATATATGAAATCAATGTACCCCGCCGGGAATTTTACCCAAAGGTTTTATTGAAGGTCAAATTTGTTAATCATGGGTTTTAAATTTTAAAGTCAGTAGGTTTAAGAAAATATTTAGTTTTTCTGGTTGCAGCCAAAAAGAAGTTTTTCGTTTAAATACCCCTTTGTCCCAATTTTTGACCCCAAAGCCCCAATTTTGAATTGGAGAAAAAAGTTTTGAAAAATTTTCCAATAAATTTAGACTAAAAGACGTGGAAGCCCCAAAAGGGAAAAAACTAAACTACTTTGTGACGGTTTAAATATAACAAAAAAATCAGTTTAATTAAAATTTAACTGTAACCGAATTTATTTGCATTTCATAAAAACCTCCTAACACCCTTAAACTTGCATCATTACTTTTAACCCCCTTTTAAAATAGATTGAAGCTTGATACGTGCTTTTATATAAAGTATTTTAAGAGGGGTTTTATCCAAGACATGTTCTTCATTTTGTCTCTTTAAATAGACATAATTTTCAATGATATACATATGCATGTTTAAATGGTGTATGAAATTTTGAAAAGGTACTGTACATGTTGAGGAATGATACTATATTTCACAACAAACACAATTCAATGCACAATTTCTAATTGCTGGATACCAATTGTGGTTGTTGGTAATAACACATCTTTTTTAAAAATTTGTCCACTTATTTAATTTCAACATATTTGGACTATCCAGAAAGTTTCAAAAATTTTGGTAATTAACATTGTTACCAATCTGGAACGATGATTATTAAATTAATTTGCATAAACATATATAAAAGTTAAAACAGTTAAGGAGAAAATATTTTCTGAATAAACATTTAAATGATGCATAACAGAAATCATTTAATGAAGAAATGAGAGATAATTTTTTTCAAGTTTAAAAAAAGAAATTAAAAGAAATATTACAAGTTTCAATCCATACACACATTTTTGGCATAAATCGGTTACCGCATTTCTTTGCAAAATTTTTAATTTCAACCTATGTTTATTCACATGATTAATTGTTTAAAATAATTTATTAAAAAATCAGGTTTAATTACTAATTGTATTAAACAGAATACATAAGTTTTTTGAACCATTGAAAACCAATTGTACGGACAAATTCAGACTTTTTAACCAATTTCAAAATTTTTAATTGTAATTTACAGGATTTCAATATTTGGAAGTTGACTACTTTTTAACCTAGAAATTTTAAAAACTAACGTTAACTTTTGCCTAATTTTAAAATTTAAAACCCAAATGCCCTATTTAAAAAGTGAAATATTAAAACCACTTTTTATTGAACTGAGGGTAATTTTATAGATTATCTTAGATCCGTTGAGTTTTCAAACTATACCTTTACAAAAGGTTTAATTATGGTGATAATCAAATTTTCATTTTGTCTTATTTCTAGTAATAAATTTTGTTTTTTTCCCCGGATTGGCTGGAACCCATAAAATTTGAATATTTCGATTTATTGGGTAGTGTGAAAATTTTATACCCAATGGAATTTTATTGATTAGAAAAAGAATTTTCTTGAAAATTTTAGATATTTAACATAACTTTAAAAAATCAACGGAAAAAAATTAAATTCTTAGAAATATAAATTAACAAAATAAAAGCATTATTAATAATGTGTGCGTTTTTATTGACATTTATTATACAATCCTAAAAAAACATTCTGGAAAAATAAGCGTTTAACTAGCTTTTAAAAAATTTTTTTTACTGAAATCATAAACAGGGTTTTATTTGGGCCAATAGAATAATCAAGATATTACATTTTCTGTTTATGTTATGAATTGAAAGGTTTATGAGCTTGGATTTAATAATCACCAAAAACATTTAATGGACAATCTAAATCCTTAAAACCACCTGAGCAGTGTGAGTGAGCTGCAATTATTTCCCCAGATTTTTTCCAACTTATTTTAAATTTAATATTTTAATATTTCCTTGAAATTCAAAACTTTTTTGAAATAGTTTTGTAAGGCTTATTGGAATTCCACCGGGGGGGTTTATATACTCAGAGCAGGGAAACCATCTAAACAAACAACAAGGATTCATTTTCGCAACAACATCATAATTGAAATAAACACAATTTATAAGGATACTTCAATGGCATAAGCAAAATATTTTACTGCTGTAGTGCCTTGCTAAGCCATGAATGTCCAGAAGACTGACTGTAGATTAATATTGTTATAAAATTTAAAGAAAAATCAACATTTCTGTCTATTTTACAACCATTTATTAAACATAAAAGCAAGATGAAGATAAATGAATGCTAAAATTGTAGAAAAAACATTTTTCCGAGATAAAAATTTTAATGAGTCTAAGGAAAATGAGGAGCTATAAAATGAGAGGATGAAATGATACACAGATGATTCTAGGAGTCATACGATGTGAATGACCATGTTAACACATTCATATAAAACTAAAGAGCTACACAATGAGATTGTTCTTTTTAACACATTCACTACACATTGTTCCCTGATGAATGAGTATGTCCAATTTACTTGGCTTGCTGACCTCCCTTCTTGCCAATAAGTGACTTGTGGATATGTGGAATAACACCTGAAAAAATAAAGTAAAAATGATCATTTTTCATTCATTTCAGTGTAATGGTAAAGGTAACATTGTCCATTTTATCTCTTTGCATTTTCATCATAATTTGTTTATGCTTATTTTTCATTTTAATAATAATTGTGTAAGTAAATCTTTACAAATGAAGTTATATTTAATCAAGGTCATTTTCAACTAATCTCAAGAAAAATCCTTTCTACTGTCCAAGGCAGGAAAAACGCTGGTATTAAATGGAACATTGTTTTTGTCAATAACTAAGAGGGATTTGCATACAATCTGTCGCTGTCTTTTCAAGAATCAGTCGCTCGTCCTGCAGGACGAATAGTTTCTAAATACAATGTGTAACATTTTTCTACTCGTCTTGTATCAAATACTCAAAAATTCTTCCCGTAATTAAGAGCGTTCGAGTGGAATTTTCATTTTTTACAACTTATACATGCATTCGTCTCTACTGCAAACATTACATGTCTTTGTATTGAAAATTGTCATTATTTCTCTATTGAATATGTTTTAGGCAATAAAATATTTGTAGTTTTCCTTCAACAGGTAAGTCAAGATGTCCGATCACAACTATAGCAATATTACCTTGATGCAGAAATTGGCAATACGCCAACATGAAACTTATGGTATGGTTAACAGTAGAAATTTAACCAATAATCCCTATTTATATTATTGTAATTTTTTCAAAAATCCAAACTTTTATAATAAAATTCAACTTACCACCACCAGCGATTGTGGCTTTAATTAGGGAATCCAACTCTTCATCTCCTCTGATTGCCAACTGCAAGTGACGTGGGGTGATTCTCTTTACTTTGAGATCTTTACTTGCGTTTCCAGCCAACTCAAGGACCTGCAAATTTAATATCACATTACTTATTCAGTGATTTTTTTTTCTGTATTTTACAGCCGAATAAAGGCTGTTTCCCCTAGCTCAAAATAGGTATATTTTCCCCTAAAAAAGCTAATATTTTCCCCTGTAATGCCCTGTGCACTTCCTCACCAAAACCATTACTTAACAGCATCTGAGTTATTATATCAGGTAGAAGACAAAAAACTTTTTCCTATAGCCTCTGCTATGTACCATGTATGTTAAATTGAATTGAAATTAAAAAAAAATTTAAATGTGTGGGTAAATTCCATTCTCAGTTGTTGGAATTTGATTTTCCCCTTTTCTGATTTATTACACAATATTTTCCCCTTCAGAAAGCCACAGGTTGTTTTGAAAATTGGAAAAAAAATCACTGTTATTTTTAAATTGTTCTAAAATACAGTGTAATCATTAAATTATTTTCCGAGTTGGATCAAAAATGCATTTGAGAATCCTTGAGATGTCATTGACTCGGTGCAAAGCATATCAACGATAAATCATCAATGTCTGATGACAAACAACATATATAGATGATACACCAACATATAAATACTTTTCTTATAAAATAAGATATATATAAATATATATATATTAAATAAATTTCTTGTTTACATTTTACTTTCACGCCCATTTTAGAGCAGTTTATATAATTTTTGTAAAATACATGTTCTGTTCATATGAATATGAAAATGCCCTTTTTTGGTTTTATTCCAACCATTTTTTGTAATCACTGCTATGAAATATGTCCATGTAACAACAGACCTGGCAACCTGCTTTTGCATTTTTCGTTTTGGCGAATTTTCTTAATTTGAAGTAATTGATTTTTGTTTTTGATGTTTATCGATTATTGATTGAAGATACAACGATACCGTCTCTACAACAGCTCTACAAAATTACATCCCCAAAAAATGTATTTTTCAGAAATAGACCTTTCCATGAATTGTGAAAGAATCTTCCTCAAACATGATGCACCAGTTGGTCCTCAAACATGATGCACCAGTTGGTCAGTTAACAATACCAATCTAGGTCACAAACTGGATAGTTGATTGTCATGATTTTGATGTTTATTATTAAGTAAAACGAGTATTATATATAATACACTAATGAAAACAGATTGAACCTTTTATATACTCCTTGTTTAGATTCCGGAATCTTATCCAGGATATAGCCGTTTATTATAGTAAATGAAACCACAAAATGTCAGATACTTGCAAAAGCTAAACAATGAATGGTACATTCTCCAATAAATATATTGTCCTTGCATTACAACAAAATTTACTTTCATTCTAATTCATTACAATAAAAATAAACACATCTATCACAAACACATCTGTTTGAAATACTGTTCAATAATATAAACATCAGTCTTTCATGTATAAATTACGATACCCGGAAGTCGTATTGTTACCATACATGTACACAAAATGGCCGCTAAAAATAGGATACACAGCCCGCCAAAAATTAATGTTTTAACAATATTCCATAAATTTAAGCATAAATGCAACATCAACTTACTTCGGCGGTCAGGTATTCAAGGATTGCTGCACTGTAAACGGCTGCTGTAGCTCCAACACGACCGTGGCTAGTGGTTCTGTTCTTCAAATGCCTGTGAATACGTCCGACTGGAAACTGCAAGTTTACAATGGCAAATTGTCAAAAACGTTCTCGTGAACTCATTTATGCACTTCAATATTTGATCGAATTAAAATTAATATTAATTTCAATGCATATTAAACAAAACCTACCTGTAAGCCAGCTCTTGCGGACCTTGACACTGCCTTAGCCTTGGCCTTTCCGGAATCTTTACCAGCTTTTCCACCAGGCTAAAAATGTACAACACAGAGTTATTCCATCATTTCACAAAAAAATATTATCACCATAAGATAGAGAAACTTCCATTTCATAAAAAAGATATATACTTTTCCCGCGATGGATTTCAATTTTCGAGAATTTCAACGATACAAACCATGATTATTTTTGGAGTAGTGTAGTTCTTTCTTTCAAGATGACGCGTAGACTGTGCATAAATTATCGAGCGCCAAAAATATCCACTAGTCAGATTTGATCACGTGTTAATTTTGGCCAATAAAAATAGATGTTACATTCGGAAAACACCAATCGTCGCCTTTAGCTCAAATGTGTCATAAACAGTTATCAGCTGACATACCGTCAGCGGGATATTCAAAAGAATCAATTGAATTGAGTAATATTACATAACATTTGTAAATTGGAGCACTGCTTACGGCAGGAAAGAGAAATTGGTGACAATTACTACCAAAATGTCAAACTGTGATAACTTTTGGCATATTATAAAGATCATAAAGAGATTATAATTTTTATAACAATAAAAAAGTACCTTGTAATAGAAGAATTGGACTGTCCGGAAATTTAATCTAGATCTATCACAGTTGTCAAGTTAATAAAATTATAATGTATTTTAAAAACAAAAATATTTATTCAAATATTTCTTATAATTATAAAAATAAATAATAATTTGATAGAATCTAATGATAATTTAAAAATAAATATTTGTATCTGGTTTCATCTCTGCATCTCTGGCTTGTTTTTAGAATACATGTAGGCTAGTTATATACATGTAGATCTAGATATATTCATTGGAATAATCGCATACCGAAAATAGCAACCCTACGTAATATTACATGAAAATCTGCAGTTATTTAATAACTTAGTATGATATTGTATTGTATTGATAAGGTTAATTTGTACGTAATTCCTAAAATAAACAAAAAACTAGATAAATGGAGGTCCTTCGGAACGTCGGATATTGATATCAAAGGACTCCACTGAGATTTTAGCATAAATATAAGATTTTCATTTTATTTCTGAGTAGGCCTATATATTTTTCAATTATCTTCTGTTCTTTTTAAGTAACAGAACAGAACAGAATTTTTATGAACGTATGTACAATAAGAAATTCAAATTTTTATTTTTGGACCTTAATGGAGTTTCTGTTATATAATTATGTTTAATACAAATTTTCAATTATCGCCTATGTTAGTTTGAACGATATAGGCCTACAGCTTGAATGTTACAGAAACATACTTATTATTATCTTTTTATAATTAATATTTTGATATTATCTGGGACATTCTATAACATTATGTTCCAGATATTATAAAAATAATTTTGGCATGTTTCACAACTTTGGATTCAAAATTTGCAAAAATATGTTCACTAAGTCTAGTATCATATTATGTTCCACACTACAGGATGGTTTACATTTACAATTATTATTATTTTACATTTAAATAGAAGAGGGGTGAAAAGTAAAATGCAGTCTTGTGATTTTTTGATTTTTCTAAATGCGTTTTCGCATGGTCGACTCCATAGGCTTACTTGACGTTACGTCAGGCTCATGCGTTTATTCGTAGACTATGCAATGTGGGCACAACATAATTATATACTAATTAAATATTACGAAACATGCGAAAGGAAGGTCTACAAAAAATCGATCGCAGTTTTGCAACTTTTATTTCACGCTTCCGCTATTTACATGTAAATAAATTTTGATAATTATCATATGTCTATAAAAGGTGCACCAACATGCAGTTAATACGTTTTTGCAATATAGCAACGTTGCCAATACTTTGCTCAAGTAAGTTATACAGAGTTTTCCAGTAATACCTTTATTTAATAGTACTGCATATATAATATGGACGTCTGGACACGATAAACATCGTCAGTAAGTTGCAATTGTTGCCCTGCCCAATTCCGACATATGCCCCATTGTCTTATACTTCTTCTGAATTATGTTTAAATAAAGTAATGCTATAACCAAGCGCGTAATTTAATCCCACTTTTAAAGGCAAGTTAATTTTGTAATACCGTCATTTATGTGGAGGCAGAAACTAATATTAATAGTGCTCTATGAGCGGTCTTTAACAAATTTGGCAACGGTAAGGTGTGGAAATCCATATTATAGGATATATTAGCCCACTGTTTATCTACATTGAAAAAGATTCCTTCGGTGCATAATTTTAAGCATCCGAACCAACCATCATCAAATGAATGAGTTCAACGTCTTGGCGGAGTTCATCGGATCTACCACTGAGCCGCTAAGCATCATTTGTGCTCGGTTACAATAGTCATGTTTATTCTGGACTTTAAAGCAGCACGCCTACAGATTCATGCTAATTTTGAAAATGCATTTGAATGTGTAATATTATGAAGTAACCAAAAGGATGCAATTTCCTCATCATCAATGGCACTTACAAATCACGTAAATTACCGAAAAGTGGTCAAAATATGAATAAATAGCCTTTACTGCTGCTTTTAGTAGAAATACTGAAAAATCAGTCCGAAATCGCACATATGAAAAATATTTCTTGAATCTTTTTACTTTTCCTTATATCTTAGTACATTTTTCTCAAGTTTGATTATATTGAAATATTTTGACTCATCTGGAGGCATATAGCTTTAAGTTTGGTTTGATCGTAGCTGGGACATAAGATATGTCTTATATATCTTATGTCCCAGATCGTAGTAAAGGTCATATGGGGACTTTCCAGCATTACTGGTTAAGTAAGACCTCTGGCAGGCGGGAGGGGGCACGTGTACACAACAACCATTGATTTACCTTCAGTTGTATCAGATGATCAGTGTGACATTCCTGCTTAAAATTATCTATCTGATAATTGGGTAGATAAAATTGGTTTATACAGTACAGGAAAGGATATGGTACCTATCTGTTAAAATCTGATGTTATCAGGGAATTTATTAGACAAAGACCAGGATGGAAATAATTGTTTATTTCGATTATATTATATATATCTAGCAACCAGCTATCACTAACAACATCAAGTAGACTCTTAAAACATTCATTTCAACAAAAATCCTTAATTTCCAAATTTGATAAATTTAAACAGCATGATTATCTTAAGAACATCAAATAAAACAATAAAGAATAAAATGTTTTGGCTGTAGAGAAACTGGAAAATAATAATCAAATACTGCCATTTAACACAACATTAATTTCAAACTATCTTTAAAAATAAATCATATAAATTGTATGTATACAGTAAGATTCAGAAATTATTTTTTTTCAATATAAATGTATTTACACAAACACTGATGTTCTTAAGAACATCTCACTTAATTATAAAATAAAACTTTAAATTTGTTTTCATGATTGTTAAAGAGAGTAAAATAAAATGAAAGTAAATATTTGGTGTATGGGACAATTTCAAGTGTATTCAGTTAGCGAACTGTACCAGGAAGCTGTAAGAAGCAATGTAATATACCAGTAACAGCTTTATAAAAGCTCATTAAAGCAAATATCTCCTGATTCATTTCAATAATGTAAATATTCTTCAATAACATGTAATGCTTACATTCATCATAAAAGGCCCATTGTGCCTCAGAAATTCATATTTTTTAATTCTTCAGAACTGTTTAACATGTTCAAGAATGAATTTAGAGCACGTTATATGATTAAATAATGAGGAAAGTAGCGCTGAAAGTGCAGTAATATGTCATAAAGGTAGCTAAATGAAAACAAAGTAGTATTTTAACTTCCATACAAAATACTAATTCACTATAATTACACCAATTGCCAAAAGAACTGAAGATGCAAAAGATAGTTTGTGTCTATAGCAAATGAGTACATTTGTGGAAAATATTGACAAGATACCAAAAATTTTTTTTTTGTGAGAAATAAGAATTGACAGCACTTCTGAGACATGCTGGGCCTTTAACCTACTATGAAACATTTTAGTTAATACTTCCATTCAGGATGATTAGCTTTCTCATGTAATTATTTACAAATGACCATGGTTAATATGATATGCTTCTTACAACCAGAAGTTGCTGCTTGCTGTAATGAATAACAGATGTTTAATACAGCATTAGTTTCCACAAGATATCTGACCATACAATTTTAACCTTTATCAAACAGCATGTCAATAGTAACCTAACACCGTCTTTCAATGTCTTTAACAACACAACATCTGTCAAAGATTTAATTATATATTCACACAACATGTAAACATTACTAATATTGTAACCTGTAATGCACAACATAACAATGTTAAAATAACATGTACTAAATTATCATAACCTGTTGTAAATATGTTAATGTAACTGGTTCACCACATCATCAAATCAATGTTATTAAAACAAGTGCCACACAATGGCATGCAAATGTTATTTTAACCTGTGCCACACATCATATCAAAGATATCATAACCTGTGTTACACAACATGTGACTTATATTATGATTTGTGTAACATACCATGTTGAAGTTTAATAAGTCTGTGTGACACATCCTGAGAATGTTATAATCTGTGCATCATATCATGTGAATGCCTGTACAACATACCATTTTAATGTTATCATAACATGTGCCACACATCAGGTGAATGTTATTATTTCCTCAAAAAAGCTGTTATTACTATCATAATAACCTTTACCATATATCGTCTTTTTATCTTAATTAAATAACATACACTACACATAATATGTTATTCACTCTTAGTTCAATATCAGGCAATATTTGTATAAAAAATTTGAACACTTTCAAGAAATATTTACTATATGAAGTGCAGTTCTACAGCCGAGCAACATAAATTACTCTCAATGTTAAAACAGGTAAGGTTTTAAGAGAAATAACAAAATATGTATTAAATGACAATATTGCAAAAACAAACAGAACACATGAATATTTACAGATCTAAGCTTTATCAGCTATTAAACAGTATTAACTGTAGCAGGAAATAAAAATAGCATCTTAATTAAGCAACAACAAAGTACAATTTATGAAAATATCTACTTTTGATACAAACTACTCGTATATAATTAAACAAAGGCTCACTTGAGTCTATCTCTACATGGTCCATGGAACAGTAGTTAAACAATTCTCCAAGGGTCTTCCTTAATTTTGGACTATTTTATGCATCTACTAGTATGTCAATACCATCAGTACTTAAATACCATAATGGAATCAAGATATTTAGTTCTTTTTTGCGACATAATTGATTTAGTTTCATTTCTCATACAAGACATGCATGTTTTACTTTCTTATTGTAATACTATGAAATAGGTATGTTTTACCACGTTACTGCAGAACACTGAAATAAATATATCTTTCTGTGACTCTTTTTTAACAGAGTCATTATTTATATGACATTTGTAATGGTCAAATTAACAATGCTAAATACCAAATATCTTATCTCGGGACGTTTAAATCTAAAGACAATAAGACTAAATAATAATTAATCAAAATAGTGGCTCCTAGGGTAGGGCTTTTGCCCACATACCTATTTTACAATATCAAACATTTAATTTTACAGGAAAAGAGGTTTCCCTGATAAATTCATGCAGAATTGGACTGTATTTGAAACAAGTGACCACAAATACAATGGTTAATCCAATTATCAAATATTTTTGGTGAGGGAGGCAGACTTTCAAGTTTCTGATGCAACTGTAAACACTACACTCAGTTTAGGTTGATCAGGTTAGAGACGTTTTTTAAGTAATAGAGGAAATCAATGGTGAATAGAGGAGCGGACAACAGGTAACCACAAGTCACCTTTGAGCACTGCCTCGGTGAGCTAATAAAAATGTTGATAAATGCCTGCTTACCTTACTATAAATGTATTACTCTTATATCTTAAACTTACATTGGGTGATTTTTAATGCAAAAATTTACAAATTTAATAGCTTTCCCTCTTTATCTTTGTATTAAATACCAAAACAATCTACTATGTTACGACAGTTTAAGAAACACTGAATATAGTTAGAATCATTTTTATTTTAACAATCTTTCTAGTAAATTTCAATAAGAAGTGTAATTAAAGTAACATAAAATATGGCACTAGTTAACTCTCCCTGGATTCACACTATAAGCTCATCTCCACACGAGACAGTGTAATTGTTGACAATGATTAGACCATGTGTGTATCTTGATTGGTATTACAATGAAAGCTTAATTTGGTGAATTCTGTTATCCTTGAATCAATTTTCCTTCAGTTTCCTTAACTTCAATTTTACTTCATAAAACCCCCCAGAAAAATGTGTTCCTTTACATTAACAACTATTAAAAGTCAAAGTATCCTTTTAAAATTAGTTAGATTACCTACTTTTTTAACTGTGGAATAATAATGGTATACTTTATCAAAAAACCTACAACATGTAACTTAATATTTGTACACAGATGAAACTAGCAGAAGACATCATAGTCAGCGGCTTTGATGTCTTAATTTGTAGTTTGATTAATCAATTATTATGTTATATAAACTATATATACACATGTATCCAAGATGACTGTAAATGACCAGTGGTGAATGAGCAGGTTGCTCACAAACATGAACTACTGACCTTTAATGCTTTTTATGAGATAAATTTAAATGAACAAGGACAAATGTGATGATAAATGCATGCTGCCTTTTTGAGCATAACTGAAGCATTCATAACAATAACAAATCTGAAGGTTAATGCTTGAAATGACTTAATATAGTAATTTATACAAATTAAGAATTAAAATGAGGCTTACGTTCACAAAGCCTATAATTGATTCATAACTGCCAGACAGTTATCTTGTTTGAATTTCTGTCAAAATCTATGCTTAAGTTAATATTCCATGATCTTCAGACAGACAAATAGGTTAGTGTGAATAACTTCAGTTGTTTTGTAAGATTTAAAGGGACTCCACTGAGTTTTTTTTTGACATAACAAGACTGGAAATATTTTTTTCAAGATCTTTTGCATATCTTTCTGTTTTAAGTGCCCAAGCTGATCTATGCAAGAAATTCAAATTTTTAGACTTTTGGATCTCAGTGGAGTGCATTTAAAGCGGCACATGAAACCTAAAACTTAATCTTACATTCAGGCTGACATAAGTAAAATAACCCCATTGTCTAAGAAAACTCAAGCCTCTGTAACAAGCCTCTAGTGTATTTCTGTTATGTATTTTTAGTAAAAAAAATATACAGACCATAAAACATTCTAATATGTTTTTGTTTTGCAAGTATATGCACAAATTGTCCAGCAAAAATTCAGTTAGAAGTAACATACATGGTTGTTTATATTCTCATACAAAAAAATATAACCACCATAGTGAAATTTTAATCAACAAAAAAAAAATAGAAAACTTTAAAATGTTAACCATTAACATAACAGAAAATAGCAAAAAAATGTGACAGAATGCTGTTGATAAAAACATAAAAAATATAAACATTACCTTATTTCGTTAACCTAAATAATGAATTAAATTTGTTAAAGAAAAGAAAAAAATATATAATCCCAACTATGTTGACATGTTGATACATGAAACAATTATTAAAAGAAATGCAATACATACAATATCAATACGAATCAATTACAACAAAGTATGAAAAATGAACACATTTCAAGAGTTCTCTTAACTGCATACACTAATACATGTGTATATGACAAAACATTAAAAAATGAATCAAATAAAACATATGTGGATAAAATCTCTATATGACATTTAATGTCCAACAATTCTTTGAACATATATCTCCTGTACATGAATGGAGATGCTAAAAATGTAGACATATGAATAAAGTTTTTATAATGTTTATCGTCGACGCTTTGCTTTTTTTGACTTTTGTGCTTTCCCTGCTTTACCTGGTCCTGCCTTTTGTGTCTTTGGTGTTGTGGTTTCTTCCTCACTCTCATCACCCTTATCTTTACTTCCCTTAGCAGGTTTACTCTTCTGTTTCTTTGGTGGTGGTGCTTCAACATCACTGTCATCATCATCAGCATCAGACTCATCAACCAATTTTCGTTTCACTGCACCACCAGACCTTGATGATGACCTTGGAGTGCCGGTTTGCTTCCTAACACTATCTCCACCTCTAGATTTGCTAGGTGTTGGGGTGTATTCCACTGGAGCCACTTCATCTTCAGATTCATCGTCAGATCTATCAATGATTGCAGGAGATTTTGCAGCAGCTCTTTTAGGAGTTGTTGTCTGTTTTTTGTTTGACTTGGATACAGCTTTCCCTCTACTTTTACTTGTGCTTTTTACTTCCTGTACTGGTGCAGCTTTCCTTGCAGGTGTTGCGACACCACCTCTTCGTTTGCTTGGTTGTGGTGTGTATTCCACTTGTTCTTCTTCATCACTTTCGCTTTCAGAGCTTACTTCATAATACTTCCCTGAACTAGATTTAGCATTCCTCACCTGGCCTTTTTTACCACTGCTTTTCTTTGGTGAAGGAGCAGCCTTAGATTTTGACTTGCTCTTCTTTGTAGGAGTTGGGGCTTGTCTAGGTTTAGGTTTAGGGGCCATTCTGCCTCTCTTTGTTGGACGAGGGACATACTCTAAATGCTCTTCATCTGAATCATCATTATCATCTATATCCTCTTCATCTGAAGAATCACCAGCAAGTATTGCAGGTGATGGGAAAAACGGATCTGATAACTGGAATGTGCCAGTAGCTCCAATACCTGACAGTTGCCTGAAATCATAGCAGAAATCTAGTATAATGATATGCTTACATTTTACTATAATCAAGCTATTTTTCATGGTTTTTTAAGCTGCATGCCTCCAAAAATTTACAAGAAAATCAAACTTGACAAAAATGTTACATTTTCACAAAACAAAGGTGACATTGTCATAAAGTTTTAAGTGGAGATGTGGGCATTATGGATAAAAAGTGTTAGCTGGCACGCAAGTTTCTATTCTTGGCACTGAATTGTGAAATGAACCTTAAAACAAAATAGTAGGGAAGATATGCACAGTTAAGAATCTTGGCCAATGAATGAATTATGTGTAAAGAAATGTTACATTCTTAGTACATGCTTAAGTCCAAGAAAGAGGATTATTTCATTGAAAAATGTACCTATGATCAAAATTCTAGGCATGAATATAAACTATGTCTGAAGTACAAATAAAAGACTGTTCTGAATTTTGAAATTGACAGACATGCCGAAAGCATTTTTGTAAGTGCTGTGGACATTTTTTTCATCTGAGCTCTAAGTAAGACTTTGACCATAATCTATGTTCTAGCACAGAATACTATGACTAATGATGGTGTCATTTCTATGAAGAAATAGTTAATTCTGTGTATGCATGTACAAACTATGCTCCAGAAAAAATATGGATATTTCATCATCTGCAGTGATCTTGTCTTTGCATATATTGACCTAAATATAATGTGTTACATCCGGTGACACGATAGTGACCATTTGTGTTATAATCTATCAACAGATGATGACTAAAATGGTCTCTTTACATATTTTCATATTTTGTCTGAAATTTTACCCCCATGTGTGACCTTGACCTTGATTATAGGGACCTAAATTTTATATGCAACACTCAACCTCATTATGATGAACATTTGTGCCAAGTTATATAACAGAACAATGAAACTATTTTCCGTCAATCACTTCAATAATCAAGCATGTAAAGTTAAGATTCAAAAATTACTTACCTCAAAATACCCTTACTACAAGCTTTTTCTAGGGCATGCTTGAACAGATATGGTCTAGCTTCAATATTTAGTTTTGAATGGTATTCTGTGATGTATTTCTTTATGAGACCTGCAGAAGCTTGTTTAGGTTCATGACAGGCAACTAAGGCTTGAGCTATTTGGTCCTTCAGATGTTCACCTGAAACATAATTATAAAACATGTGATTTATAACAAATATAAGTGTATGTCATGTATTCTGAAACTTGTACATACCACGGTCAATGAAACAGTCACATTGAAAATGTAAGGTATAATCTTTAAATACCTCTTCTTAAACCTACTCACCTTTCAGAGAAGATTTTTTCTCATAAATATAAGCTCACAACATTATAAGACTTTTATAATTACTTATTCAGCAAAAAAGCATTCCTATGTATAAATGACTAATGATAAAGAATAAAATGTCTAAAAGTAAACATTGCACAAATATGATTAGATTTAATGCTTGTCAAGCTGATAATATATAAAAGTGCCTTTGCACCTTACTGATAATCATTTAACCACAAATGACTTACTTCTTCCTGGATTGAATGTCTCTATCAGTAGATGGTATCGTCCTGTAGGTGCAGTCCCAGATATTAGTTCCCACAGTCCATCCTCAACACCTTTATCTAAAGCTTTCTTCAGCCGGTCATTACTGATTTCCTTAAAATAGTATTTACTGATGTATGATTTGATTTTCCCTCCTGATGCCTCTTTAGGGTCGCTCTGGTAGGTAATGGCAAGTGGAAAAACATCTTCAACTTTCTCAGGATCGCTATGTTTTGATGCATGTTTGGCCCATTTTTCAGTTGGTTTCCCTACAATCATTACAAATAAGTAAATTATCCATCTGTTATTCTTTTTATACAATTTATAATTTTCAGTTCACTTAACCCTCTTTTCAGGATAATTAACTTGTTAATTGCCAATTTACTGACAAATGACTGATTACTAATCCCATTTGACTTTTTACATCACAGGTGAGAGATAAAGCCTATTAAATTAATATAAGAGATCAATTGTTACCAACAAAATTTGCCTCGCCCAAGCATTGAACCAATAGCCCTTAGATTACAAACCAATTTCTCTCCCTATACAACTAGACCAGCAGACCCATTTAAAGCAAGTTAAAGCTATATTTTACAATACAGGCCATAATTTGTTAGTTGTTGTCCTCTTTTAATCCCTTTAATTGTATTCAAATTTGTTTAAATACTGTCTAATACCAGATACAGAATTCAACTGCATAACATGTTGATGTAACATATTAGAATTTTTTCCATGATGTCAAGAAATTCACACATAGAAGATCAACTTACTTTTTTTCTTTGACGGTTTCCGTTTACGTTTTTTCTCTGGTGAAGATTTAGCATCACCATCTTCCTTATCTTCACTTCCCTCTTCACCTTCCTTATCTTCACTTCCCTCGGCACCTTCAGGTTTATCCTCTGCTTTCTTTTCATCATCTGTAGACTTTTCCTCACTGTCACCAGCTTCACCATTTTCTTTTGTCTCTTTTTCACCAGACTTCAATCATACACATAGAAATTTAACTTCAGTTACCTGCCTTCAACTATACATATACAAATTGAACTTCAGCCATCTTTAATTATACACATACAAATTTAACTTCACCTGCCTTATATTATACACATACAAATTTAACTTCACCCATCTTTAATCATACACATACAAATTTAACTTCACCGCCTTCAACTATACACATACAAATTTAACTTACCCATCTTTAATTATACACATACAAATTTAACTTCACCCGCCTTATATTATACACATACAAATTTAACTATGATATTCAGAAATGATGTAATGATCAGATATTTTGTTCTATACTGTGCTATTCATCACCATTTCGGTTATAGGGTGACTCTTGTATTGAAGGAAGAATCAAGAAGACACTTGAACTAACACTGCACAAATAGGCAACTTAGTGAAATAATCTACAAAATATATCAGGAGAGATTATACATTTTGGGATTCTCTAAACTAGTTGATGTGTCAATAATTCATTACTTTATCCTCAAGAATAGTGTACATTCCTTCACAATCAGTTTAATTACCAGACTATTAAGTCTTCATTATTATGATCAACTAATTCAGTAATAATTGACTGCCAATGTCTAGAACAACATAGAAATGCATTTATAATAGAGACTAGAAATGTGTCATCATGCCACGGATGCCCCCGCATGCAGCCAAAATTTCAAATGTTATAATATTTAGTTCCAAATTTGTTTGCACAAAAAAAAAAAATATTTTTTTCATTCTAAGTTCAAAACTTTTCAATGTTAACACAAACCATTTTTATACAATGTTCAAGGCACTGAAATTTAATTCAGTCTAAACCTTTTAAAAATAGCATATTGCATATTTGTAGCCAACATAATGGCTATATACATTTCCACCAAAGTATGAGTGCTGAAACTGAAAGTTCAAAATTTTTCCAACATTCAGGAAAGATAAGTTTGTCCAAAATCATTGAACCACGACCAAATTCAAACTTAAACTGCTTATTCCTAAGATGTATCTATATTATTTTCAAAGTGAAAGGGACATAACTCTGCCAAAAAATCATCGAACCATGACCAAATTCCAACTTGACCTTTGCATTCCTTTGACATATCCATATGTCAATTTTGAGTTGAATATGTAACACTGTTGGGTTGATAATGAACAGAAACTGTAAATTTCATATCATTTTCAAAGTGAAAGGGGCATTACTCTGCCAAAAATCATTGAACCATGACCAGATTCAAACTTGGCCTGCGCATTCCAAAAACATATCCATATGTCAAATTTGAGTTGAATGTGTAATATTGTTGGGGAGATAATAAACGGAAACTGAAAATTTCATATTATTTTTAAAGTGAAAGGGGCATAACCCTGCCAAAAATCATCCAACCATGACCAAATTTGAAATTGACCTGCACATTCCTTTGACGTATCAATATGTCAAATTTGAGTTGAATGTTTAATACTGTTGGGGAGATAATAAACGGAAACTGAAAATTTCATATTATTTTCAAAGTAAAAGGGGCATAACTCTGCCAAAAATCATCGAACCATGACCAAATTTGAAATTGACCTGCGCATTCGTTTGACGTATCGATATGTCAAGTTTGAGCTGAATGTGTTGTACGATTGGGGAGATAATGAACGGAAACTGAAAATTTCATATTATTTTCAAAGTGAAAGGGGCATAACTCTGCCAAAAATCATCGAACCATGACCAAATTTGAACTTGACCTGCGCATTCCTTTGACGTATCCATATGTCAAGTTTGAGTTGAATGTGTTGTACCATTGGGGAGTTAATGAACGGAAACTGAAAATTTCATATTATTTTCAAAGTAAAAGGGGCATAACTCTGCCAAAAATCATCCAACCATGACCAAATTTGAACTTGACCTGTATTTTTTCATGACATATCAATATGTCAAGTTTGAGTTGAATATGTTGTACCGTTGGGGAGATAATGAACGGAAACTGAAAATTCCATATTATTTTCAAAGTAAAAGGGGCATAACTCTGCCAAAAATCATCGAACCATGACCAATTTCGAACTTGACCTGTATTTTCTAATGACATATCCATATGTCAAGTTTGAATTGAATGTTTTGTACCGTTTGGGAGATCATGAACGGAAACTGAAAATTTCATATTATTTTCAATGTAAAAGGGGCATAACTCTGCCAAAAATCATCGAACCATGACCAATTTCGAACTTGACCTGTATTTTCTCATGACATATCCATATGTCAAATTTGAGTTCAATATGTGCAACGGTTATTAAGATAATGAACGGAAACTGATGAGGACGGGAAGGACGGAATGACGGAATGACGGAACAGGGTAACACTATATGCCCCTGCCATTATATGGCGGGGGCATAAAAAAGGAAACATGCATTTGATAAGCTCAGTTTCATGATTGTACTAAACTGGAGTTAATTCATTTTGTCCCTTTTCAGACTACACATGTTGTTTGTTCCCTTTGATATAACTAGCTCTGCATAACTCATATTTAGAGTTATGTCACAGAATTTTAAAGGTTTGTTTCACCTACTATATTGGGATTCCATTATTATTTACCGATCAGAATTCAAGATTAAATTACTTTGAAGTGAAAATTTTACATCTGTAGCTTATATGGAAAAGATTTTATCGGAAGAAATACAGGGAATCAGACAATATTTATGATGCAATGATACAAGTTTAAGGGACGACAAAACTTTGTCTCTTTTTAATTGGTTGTGTTTGCTGTGCAAAATTATACATGCATATGCAAATTTTGAAAAATGAAAAGTTATCATGTTCCATTAAGTTAAGATGGTGCAAAGGCTATGTATAAATTTTAGGAATAATTTCAATTTTAGAATGATACTATATCAAATTTGTTTTTTGTTGTTTTTTTCAAAATAATTGTTGACCATTTCTTGTTTGAGATCAATATTGTACACAGATGGCTTATCAGTTAGCAGTAAGGATTAAGTGGAAGATAGAATAAATGGGCTGAATGAGTAAATGTTTTCTTTATGAAGATTTGTATCTGTCATACTATAATAAAATTTACTCAAACCTCATTTAACATTCCTTTCCTTGAGAAAATTTTATGAATTTTACCTTTCCTCCTTCTGATTTCTCCTTCTTTTTCTTGTCTTTTTTATCTTCTGGGTCTTCCTTGGTTGGTTCCCCTGGTACCCTGTAGTAACCACACATACCTACACCTTTCACCTGTACAATACACAATCATTCTAATGACAATTTACAATTTGATTATGAACATTTTTTTTCCAGCATTATGTATCTTTCATGCACAGTTAGAAGAGTACCTTTCTTAATGAAACAACAAAAGAAGTGCTACTGTAAAATAATTATTATTCGTGGGGCACAAATTTTCGTAGTTTTCGTGGGTAGGGCAATCCACGAATTTAAGATCCGACGAAATTTTATCCCAGCAAATACTTCTTACCCGGTCTTTGTTCTGTATAATTATTACAAACATGCGTCAGCTCTTTACCGGCCGGTTTACAAGAAATGGATGTATAAACATACATCTAATCAGGTTAGTGACAGATTAAATCTGTTTGCAATATTTAAGAAACTTGAAAGAAAACTCGATTATATGTCCTCAATTTACTGTCACAAATGTCGGTCGCATATACACACTTGATCATTGTAGTCTACTTGATTGTGTTAACAAGAATACTTAACATAATCGAGTAAATATGGGAACCCAGGCAATGCAATAATTAGCGCTTATAAGAATTGTCAGTTTGCTCTTATTAATTTTAAAATAGTCTTTGATATTAATGTCGTAAGTACACAAAACTATAAAAAACAAGAATGTCGAACGACACATATACCCCCCTTTCTAGCCATTGACTCACATAATTGGTAATTTTATTAAAGAAACTTGCCAAAAATGGGTACATGGAAGTGTTCAATTATGGAAAAATCAACGGAAACCATTTTGACATTTAAGGCCCATGTGACATTGACCTTTGACCTAATGACCCCTAAATCAATAGAGGTTATCTAATACTTATGACCAATAACTAGGTGAAATATGAAGACTTTGTGATGAATACTTTTCAAGATAATCAGCGGAAACCCTTTTGACATTTAAGGCCCCTGTGACCTTGACCTTTGACCTAGTGACCCCAAAATCAATAGGGGTCATCTACTTGTGATGACCAATCACTATGTGAAATATAAAGACTTTGTGATGAATACTTTTCAAGATAATCAGCGGAAACCATTTTCACATTTTAAGGTCCCTGTGACCTTGACCTTTGACCTAGTGACCCCAAAATCAATAAGGGTCATCTACTAGTGATGACCAATCACTATGTGAAATATGAAAACTTTGTGATACATACTTTTCAAGATAATCAGCAGAAACCATTTTGACATTTAAGGCCCCTGTGACCTTGACCTTTGACCTAGTGACCCCAAAATCAATAGGAGTCATCTACTAGTTATGACCAATCACTATGTGAAATATGAAGACTTTGTGATGAATTCTTTTTAAGATAATCAGCAGAAATTATTTTCACATTTTAAGGTCCCTGTGACCTTGACCTTTGACCTAGTGACCCCAAAATCAATAGGGGTCATCTACTAGTTATGACCAATCACTGTGTGAAAAATGAAGACTTTGTGATACATACTTTTTAAGATAATCAGCAGAAACCATTTTGACATTTAAGGTCCCTGTGACCTTGACCTTTGACCTAATGACCCCAAAATCAATAGGGGTCATCTACTAGTTATGACTAATCACTATGTGAAATATGAAGACTTTGTGATGAATACTTTTAAGATAATCAGCGGAAACCATTTTGACATTTATGGTCCCTGTGACCTTGACCTTTGACCTAGTGACCCCAAAATCAATAGAGGTCATCTACTAGTGATGACCAATCACTGTGTGAAATATGAAGACTTTGTGATACATACTTTTTAAGATAATCAGCGGAAACCATTTTGACATTTATGGTCCCTGTGACCTTGACCTTTGACCTAGTGACCCCAAAATCAATAGGGGTCATCTACTAGTTATGACCAATCACTGTGTGAAAAATGAAGACTTTGTGATACATACTTTTTAAGATAATCAGCGGAAACCATTTTGACATTTAAGGTCCCTGTGACCTTGACCTTTGACCTAATGACCCCAAAATCAATAGGGGTCATCTACTAGTTATGACTAATCACTATGTGAAATATGAAGACTTTGTGATGAATACTTTTCAAGATAATCAGCAGAAACCCTTTTGACATTTAAGGCCCCTGTGACCTTGACCTTTGACCTAGTGACCCCAAAATCAATAGGGGTCATCTACTAGTTATGACCAATCACTATGTGAAATATGAAGACTTTGTGATGAATTCTTTTTAAGATAATCAGCAGATATTATTTTCACATTTTAAGGTCCCTGTGACCTTGACCTTTGACCTAGTGACCCCAAAATCAATAGGGGTCATCTACTAGTTATGACCAATCACTGTGTGAAAAATGAAGACTTTGTGATACATACTTTTTAAGATAATCAGCAGAAACCATTTTGACATTTAAGGTCCCTGTGACCTTGACCTTTGACCTAATGACCCCAAAATCAATAGGGGTCATCTACTAGTTATGACTAATCACTATGTGAAATATGAAGACTTTGTGATGAATACTTTTAAGATAATCAGCGGAAACCATTTTGACATTTATGGTCCCTGTGACCTTGACCTTTGACCTAGTGACCCCAAAATCAATAGAGGTCATCTACTAGTGATGACCAATCACTGTGTGAAATATGAAGACTTTGTATCTTTGTGATACATACTTTTTAAGATAATCAGCGGAAACCATTTTGACATTTATGGTCCCTGTGACCTTGACCTTTGACCTAGTGACCCCAAAATCAATAGGGGTCATCTACTAGTTATGACCAATCACTGTGTGAAAAATGAAGACTTTGTGATACATACTTTTTAAGATAATCAGCGGAAACCATTTTGACATTTAAGGTCCCTGTGACCTTGACCTTTGACCTAATGACCCCAAAATCAATAGGGGTCATCTACTAGTTATGACTAATCACTATGTGAAATATGAAGACTTTGTGATGAATACTTTTTAAGATAATCAGCGGAAACTATTTTGACATTTAAGGTCCCTGTGACCTTGACCTTTGACCTAGTGACCCCAAAATCAATAGAGGTCATCTACTAGTGATGACCAATCACTGTGTGAAATATGAAGACTTTGTGATACATACTTTTTAAGATAATCAGCGGAAACCATTTTGACATTTATGGTCCCTGTGACCTTGACCTTTGACCTAGTGACCCCAAAATCAATAGGGGTCATCTACTAGTTATGACCAATCACTATGTAAAATATGAAGACTTTGTGATAAACACTTTTCAAGATAATCAGCGGAAACCATGTGGTCTACCGACGGACAGACCGACGGACGGACCGACAGACAGACCGACATTAGCAAAACAATATACCCCCTCTTCTTCGAAGGGGGGCATAAAAATATGATCGCTAAAACAGATGTATGGTACATTCTTTTGTCGTTTTTAAATGATCCTGTTTAAATGAATTTTGATCTGCTATTCCATAAACATCAAAGACGCCACCGACTCTACTAGATACATACATACTCGTGTTATTTAATCAGATTTATTTATATGCATGTAAATTTACACAGTCGCTGTGACGTTGCGTGTAGTTACTGTCAAATATGGTAAGACCAATTCAGGGTCTAAACTTTTTAACTGGCTGGTTAAAACGTGTCAGGTATCGTATAAATAATGTGATGTTTACATCAGAGAATTACAGGGGCAGTGTGTCCAATGGAGGTGCATATCATGTCACATAAATGTGTTAATCGGCAGTAACTTTGCTATATTAGAGTAATGCCGAGAGGCAAGGATTAAATTTATTGACACGTACCTGTAAGTCAAAATGTTCGGCTATTGAATTTAAGATTACTTTGCATTAGGTTACTGACTTTTTTTTACAAGAAAATGAAAATCCACGAATTTAAGAACCCACGAAAATGCCCGTTTTGATAAAACCACGAAATTTCATGCCCACGAATATAAGTGAATTCGCAGTATTTTAGGAACTTCAGGAATATTAAATTTTATACCAGTTGCTACAATTTTATACAATTGAAAGCATCTTTTCATGATTCATGATAAATGATCATAAACACGTTGATTTGGAGATGTTGTAAAGGCAAAAGTTGACAAGGAATGACACACAATAGATAAAGACAATGGCTGATCACAATACATTACTTTAGCATAATATTTTTTAACCTTCCAAAATCTTCCTGAACGAACAAACAACCTGTAATTTGTCTTTCCCTCGGCTAAATGATACATACATTTTCCAGATATCCAGCCATTACACCTCTTTCAAGAGCCTTCTTTAGTTTGTTTGGGTATAGATCCACTCTTTGTGCTGGGTATTTCTGAATGATTGCCCTACTGATTGCATGAAACCTCAATCCTTTACGCTAACACTGTGTTAAGGAGAATTTATTCATACAAATCTTGAACAAAAAAGAAAACTTCAGGAAAAAAAGAATATTGACAAGCAATTAAAGTTCACTACAAAAAAGGCATTGTTATACCATTCAAATATTGACAATAAGTAACCACAAATCAATTGTTTGTTTAAGGTTTGTTTTATTAAACAGATATAAATCAAATATCACATGCTTAGTCAGTGGGTGTAATGCTATAAATAAAATCACAATTTACACATGAGAAAAAAACAACAGAACTATATATCTTTTGCATGAATTTGGTTTTTAAAATTCAATGCCATGATATTTACTAGCTTCTAAGCAAATAATGTGCATAAGAATGAACAAACTTTAGAGAACTTCAAAAGAAAGGATACAGGATTGCCAAGTTCATTGATAACATTGATAATGATGTCACGTATCTTTATCTGGAGAGTTTCACCTTGAACTTTAGGCTTCTTCTCCTGGAGTTTGCGTTCCTTAATTAAAACACGGTATGGAGAATTCTCTTGGAAGCCTAAAGTCTTCCCAAACTTTTCACGAACATACTGAAATATAAAAGCATAATAACTTACAGTTTTGGTGTGTGTATGTTCTACAGAATATTACATTCTCTGCATTTTTAATTTGTAATTAATGAGGTTATTTGACTGTGTAAAAACAAGAGATTAAAATCTGTATTTAATTGTTTAAAGGAGAGTTTTAATTGTAAGATTAGGTTATAAAAGCATAAAAATCATTTTTTTCAATTTCTTTGATTATAAACTATGGGTAAAAAAACACACAGACATGTTTTTATACTGGTTATATATTGGCTTTTCATTTATTTCCTTACAGGCTCTTATAGGAGGTAGCAAAGTCAAATAGCTTTGATGGGAGTGGACATGTACATGAAGCCCCTACAGTAACTGCAATAGTAGTAAAAACTTACCCTATTAAAGACTGGCACATCTACAACATTTTCTCCTTGCATTTGACAGACCTCTGAGTAATATTCATAAAGTGTAAGCAAAGGCAGTGTTACATCATCTTTCTTCATCAAGTTTGAATCCAACCTATAAACATAAACAAAGCTCCTTTTCTAATATAAATAAAGTTATATATATTGACAAATAAATTTCTACAGAATGCATGTAATCAAATGCATTAAACTGCTCCAGTGACAATGGTATGGTCAAGTGGTAAATAAGTCGGACAAAGTAATCTAAGAATTTCTTGCTGTGTTGATTCAAACTCACAAGAAACTTTACACTTATTGCTTAGTACTGATTGGTTACAGGAACAATCTGATTATTCACCCATCTTCCAAAAGCTTAAAGCTTCCAACATAAACTAAAATAAATTCATATCAACTAAAAACTGCATTTTACTGTACAAAATCTGCAAATCAACTTAGAAATATATCAGTCATATACAGAGTTTTCTACGCAATAGTCAATGCAAAATCACTATGTACAACATATGTTTTATAATTATTACATTATGTACAGTCAAAGAATTTAGAAACAGAAAGCCATAAGCCATTTGAACTAGTGGTTGGCTTTCATCAGATAATCCTATTTACAGGACTAGCTTTATACAAGACCCAAAAAAATGTAAACTTTGACAGTAAAAGAACAAGAAGAAAGAATAAATATGTATGCACCTATTTTATAATTCAATTCTAATTTCTATTCTCTGAATCAATGAGAAATAAGTTATCTTATTTAAAATTCGGTCATTTTATTTTAAGAATCTAAGATGGTTGACTGCCTTTTCTTTTTGGATGGGTTTTACAACACACTTGTCACAGAAGAGGTCATATGCTATTTTTCAGTTTTAAATATGCAGGTGCCCTTTGGAGCCTTATTTCAGGTAAGTCGGTCTAGTTACTTGCAAAATCAGGGCTCCAGATAATTTTTTAGGGCAATGAGTATTTACTCATTGATTTTTTTGTGAATGAGTAAAACTTGAAATCTGAAATTTGACAGGAGTATTTTTGCTCCTAAAAATGTATGTAAAAGAGTAAAACATTTATTATGCTTCCATGTTATTGCATTATCATACTTGTAATACAAGATATGTCAAAGTCATTTCTTTTGCTTTTTGGACTCCCTTGGTTTATAATCTTGCATTTCCAAACGGCATACGTTTTATCTGAACCTGAGGCATGTTTCTGTTTCTCATACCTGGCAGCTCTAATTATTTCATTAATTATAACCTTTACAATTACTTTTGGGTCGATTTTTTTCAGCTGAAATTACGAGTCAATCGTGTTAATTTTTGACAGCGACATTGTACTGGATTTTTATGAAATTGCGTTAATTCCACCACCTTACTATACATACCATAACATCCGATGATAGTCGGAACTACAGGAAGTTACCGTTAGACGTTGCAAAGTGTTCAGACAAAATTAAAAATAAGATAATCACCAAGTTTACTTTCGGTTACGTTTACGCGAAAGAAATGTTGCTCAATGCGTAATCTAAATTTTGTGTGCGTTTTCATACCCTTAAATTTTGTTTTGAATGCATAAACATGTTATTTCCATGCGTAATTTACGCGTATACGCATCTTATCTGGAGCCCTGAAAACATTCCAGGCCTACAAGCTATTGGCCAGCTGGTTAGTACTAAATGCACTGACTGTATGTGAATACCTGTGTTTAACATATCATATCTTACTTAAAGTCTAATATCATTCTCAAACTGTAAATTTCAATACTTGAAAAAAATCTTACCAATCAAGTAATTTCTGCTCTACCACTGGTATTGCCCTTTTTCTTTTATCAAATAAGATTTCAACCTCGAGGAAATTATGAGCCTTTGACTCGTCCTTTTCTTCTTTTTTTGCCTCTTCTTTTGCAGCATTTTCTTCCTCTGCAACATCTTCTAAATTTTTCTTGCTTTTTTCTTTAGATTTCTCTACCTTTTCTTTTTCAGCTAAGTATTCAGCTGTAACCTTCTTCAGCTTAATGGCAGGCATTTTTGTTATCTGTAATAAATTGTGATGTTTACATAAAACTTAATAATGAAAATGGTGGAACACTAAACTTTAGGTATTTTTACTTAATAGAATAACATGATGTTGTGATATTATAGTCTACTGAACATAAAAAGTTTTATTTAAAGCTGCGCATCCAACATTAATTTTAACAAATGTTAAATGTTCTAGGATGTGACTGCTCAAGCTTGAAATACATCTGGGCGTGGCAATTACTCTACAGCAAATTGCAATCTCTAACAGACCTTTCATACATCTAATACTGGTAGCTTGCCATTTACATGCACTTTGTTCAAGTGAGCTATAAAGTGCAACAACTCATAATATTACTAGAAAGTAGAAACTCAAATAAAATTAAGTTAATTCAAATTAACCTTTTACCCCATGAGCATATTGCGAAAAATGGCCGTTTTCATTGAAAAGCCTCCTGTAACAAGTTCAAACTGCTATGAAACTGTGAAAAATGCTTCAATACTAATGAAACTTGGCACAAATGTTGACTACACCATAGCCTCTGTAACAGCATGCTCAATGGTAAATTTCCTGTTACCATGGCAACGGTCTCAAAATTGCAAAAAATCACTATTTTGCATTGCTTTTTTCCATCAAAACTGATTTCAAAGTGCTGCAACTTCTCAATGAATTGAGATAGAGTAAAAGGCTTTTCAGCGTCGGTTACTAGTTACCCTAAGATTGACCTGAGGCCATTTTTTAGCCTGTCACATGTCCAAAATTTTCTTGGAGATGAGGGGGACTCTGCCCCCTTTCAAACCCCCCAAACACAAGGGGGCACATCCGGCAAAAAGCCGTCGAAACACGCTTATATAAGGGAAAAGGTTAACTGAGAGTAGACTGAAAGCCTATCTGATTACAATTAGCTCCTAAGTAATGCTCACATAAGGATATGACGGGCACCAAAAGGAGGTCACCTTCTCGTGACCTTTCAAACAGTCAATCGACAGCAAGCTTTCACAATTTTTAAAGCAATGCGGTTTCTAATTTTAACCATTGGTAAACCAATACTGAGTAGGTGATTTAATCATTAATGATTTTGCAAACAAACATGGCATATAGCCCATAAAGTCAGCAGGTAAACTGCCAAAACAATTGTGCCCATTAAAAATTATCCCAATTTAATATTTTCAGTTTGTTTCAAATTACTTCTATTTTTCCTAACAAAAATCAACAATTTGTTTTACTTCCATTTACAGCGATATTTTAATACTTGGTCTAATGCCTATCTGTAAAAGATGGTTTGATTGTTTCGCTAAAAATTGCTTTCTCAAGAAATCCAAATCACAATGAAGGTGAAATAAATACAGTGGCAATGAGATCTACATGCAAGAAATACCTAAGTTACTTTAGTCAGATTGAGAGAAAGCTTAAAACACTGTCTCTTAGTAAACTGCATTGATCATTTCTGCATTTATCACATATTATTAAATTTTATTGTATTTTTGCAATTGTATATATATCATCATATCCTGCCACATAAAGTATCAGAATATGAGCTTATTACTGTTTACATGTATCAGAACCAGTAACAGTCTCCAGATAATGGACTCAAGAGTGACTAATGCACCAATAGCTACATGGTACTCAGAGGAGCTTGACATTCTATAGAAAAATTTGTAAAATATAAATAAGTAATTAAACAAGAGCGATCAGTGATCACATGTGTCGCCTCATAATGGCCAATTTCATGTTGCAGCTTCAGTGTAGTGGAAGACACAAAAGCCAAAAATCATTCAACCGGAAAACCCGTGCAATATGCGCAAGGACTTGAGCTACAGATCAATCCTGTAAAGTTTCATTGAAATTGCATTAGTGGTATAAGAGAAGTAGTCCGGACAAACTTTAAAAATAAAAATTATTAAAGGGCCATAACTCTTACAAAAATCATTGAACCAGAAAATGCTGATAATATGCACAACTAGACTTGGTACTGATCATTCCTGTAAAGTTTGGATGAAGTTGCACTAGTAGTTTATGAGGAGTAGTGCGGACAAGCTTTTGTGTATCTGGCAACACACAGAAAAAAACACCTTTTTTATCAAAGGGCTATAACTCAGCCAAAAATCATTCAACCGGAAAACCCGTGCAATATGCGCAAGGACTTGAGCTACAGATCAATCCTGTAAAGTTTCATTGAAATTGCATAAGTGGTATTTAAGAGAAGTAGTCCAGACAAACTTTAAAAATAAAAATTATTAAAGGGCCATAACTCTGACAAAAATCACTGAACCGGAAAATGCTGACAATATGCACAATTAGACTTGGTACTGTCAGATCATTCCTGTAAAGTTTGGATGAAATTGCACCAGTAGTTTATGAGGAGTAGTCCGGACAAGTTTTGTGACAGACGGAGAGACAGACGGAGAAGTGATCCCTATATGTCACCACTACTCCGTACGTAGAGGCTACACAAAAATAATGGCAAATATACCCCTCTGTATAAATAAACAAAAGGAATGCAACGCCTTTTGCACATTCGATAATTTTATCCAATTTCATGCATTGAAAATCAATTTCAACAAACTGGTTGAGCCACTTCCAAACGGGTATGACTTAATACCAAATATGAGTGATATCCGCGGATATCACTATAAATACCGAATATGACCTATATTTTACAAAGTAATAATTTTTTTATAAATTTTTCTTGATACTATGTTTTATAATAATAAAATGAATTTACATGCAAAATTGCGTTAAATTTGGTCCATAAATAAAAAAGTTATAAGTTATATTCGAATTACGTTCTATAAAAGTCATGTCCGTGGCGGACAGGAGATACCGAATATGACTTATTTTTTATGAATTGATTAATTTTTTTATGATTATTTCTCGATACGATGTTTTATAATAATATAATTATTTTACATGCAAAATATCGTTAAATTTGGTCCATAAATAAAAAAGTTATAAGTTATATTCGTTGCGTTTTCTATAACAGTCATATCCGTGAAGGACAGAAGATACCGAATATGACCTATATTTTACAAAGTAATTATTTTTTATATTTTTTTTTCTTAATAAGATGTATTAAATAATAAAATAAATTTACATTCAAAATTTCGTTAAATTTGGTCCATAAATAAAAAAGTTATAAGTTATATTCATTGCGTTTTCTATAAAAGGCATAACCGTTGCGGACAGAAGGTACCGAATACGACTTATTGTTTATAAATTGAATTTTTTTTCTCGATACTATGGTTAATAATAATATGATGTTTTTACATGCAAAATATCGTTAAATTTGGCCAATAAATAAAAAAGTTATAAGTTATATTCGAATTACGTTCTATAAAAGTCATATCCGTTGCGGACAGAATATACCGAATACGACTTATTTTTTATAAATTGATTATTTTATTATTTATTTTTCTCGATACTATGGTTAATAATAATATTATGTTTTTACATGCAAAATTTCGTTAATTTTTGTCAATAAATAAAAAAGTTATAAGTTATATTTATTGCGTTTTCTATAAAAGGCATGTCCGTTGCGGACAGAAGATACCGAATATGACTTACATTTTATAAATTGATTGTTTTTATTATTTATTTTTCTCGATATGATGGTTTATAATAATAAAATGTTAAATGCAAAATATCATTAATTTTTGTCAATAAATAAAAAAGTGTTATGTTATATTCGTTGCGTTTTCTATGAAAGGCATATCTGTTGCAGACAGAAGATACCGAATATGACTTATATTTTATAATTGATTGTTTTATTATTTATTTTTCTCAATATGATGGTTTATAATAATAAAATGTTAATGCAAAATATCGTTAATTTTTGTCAATAAATAAAAAAGTTATATGTTATATTCGTTGCGTTTTCTATGAAAGGCATTTCGTTGCGGACAGATACATATATATATTTTACAAAGTAATATTTTTTTTATGACTTTTTCTTGATACGATGTTTTATAATAATAAAGTGAATTTACATGCAAAATTTCGTCCATAAACAAAAAATTATAAGTTATATTTGTTGCGGTTTCTATAACAGTCATATCCGTGAAGGACAGGAGATACCGAATATGACATATGTTTTTAAAGTTTTCTGATTTTACTTAGAACTGCTAACAGAATAAAATTACATGCCAAAAAATGGTTCAATTTATTACATAAATAAAAAAAATTAAATGTCATATTCCGTTGCATGTTCTAAATGAAGTCATATCCGTAGCGGAAAGAAGAAACCGAATATGACTTTGTTAGTTACATATATTAATTGCACGCTCTGTAATAGAAGTCATATCCGTGGTGGACTGAAGATAGCGAATATGACTTGTATTTTATAAATTGATTTTTGTTTTATGATGTTTACTTGATACGATGTTATATGATGATACAATGATTTTACACGTAAAATATCGTAAAACTTGGTCCATGGTCCATTAATAAACAAGTTATAAGTTATGTTTGTTGCGTTTTTTTTTAAAATAAAAATCGTATCCGTAAAGAACAGAATATACCGAATATTGCTTATATTTTATAAAGTAAGTGTTTATTTTGTCTGGATGTAATATTTAATATCAATGAAATAAAATAACATGCAAAAAATAGTAAAATTTGGTCCATTAATAAAAAGTTGAAAGTTATATGCGTTGCGTTTGATATTAAAGTCATATCCGTTAAGGACGGAAGATACGAATATGACTTATATTTTAGAAATTTTTTGTTTATTTTTGTTATATGTTATTTTAAAGTAATAAAATATAATTACATGTACCTGAAAAATTGTAAACTTTGATTCCTAAATAAAAATGTTATAAGTTATCTTCGTTTTACGTTATATAAAAGTCATATCCGTGGAGGACAGAATATACTCAATATTATACAATTATTGACTTTCTGTCTGCGAATATCACATCATATTCAATGGCTCACTAGTCAATAATTGTTTTATTATATGAAAAGGCTAAGAAATAAAACAAATCACAAAAAGTACAACCTTATATACATGTACATGTACAAATTTTTGCCTCGTTGAAGCGCGGGAAAAAAAGACGCACGTGTTAGGCGTGCAACGACTTCGCGAATGCTGTGCATTTAAAAGTTATTAAAGTTTATACTCATCATTGCGGTGTAGCCTTTAAGTATTGATATTTTAATCGAGAAATGAGCCATAAAGAACAAAAAGCAACAATTATTTTTAAGTAACACGCGTATTTAACAGTCTACGATGTATGTTTATTGAATATGAGTCTAAATCTATTTTTAGACTGGGAAAAATTTATATAAATCTTATTATCAGATATAATTAAACATATACAAACAATGAATAGTGACAACAAATTCATATATAAAACAATGGTCATGAGATTTAAAGGTACACATATAAAAATACATCTAACATTACATAAACTTGAAAACATGCATAGTTTTTACACTGGAATACGGACTGGCATTGCTATTCGGACACGTGGAAATAATGTGGTTCGATCCCCGGGCAGATATAATTAAACATATACAAACAATGAATAGTGACAACAAATTCATATATAATACAATGGTCATAAGATTTAAAGGTACACATATAAATACATCTAACATTACATAAACTTGAAAACATGCATAGTTTTTTACAACTGGAATACGGACTGGCATTGCTATTCGGACACGTGGAAATAATGTGGTTTCGATCCCCGGGCAGATATAATTAAACATATACAAACAATGAATAGTGACAACAAATTCATATATTAAAACAATGGTCATAAGATTTAAAGGTACACATATCAATACATCTAACATTACATAAACTTGAAAACATGCATAGTTTTTACACTGGAATACGGACTGGCATTGCTATTCGGACACGTGGAAATAAGGTGGTTCGATCCCCGGGCAGATATAATTAAACATATACAAACAATGAATAGTGACAACAAATTCATATATAAAACAATGGTCATAAGATTTAAAGGTACACATATCAATACATCTAACATTACATAAACTTGAAAACATGCATAGTTTTTACACTGGAATAACGGACTGGCATTGCTATTCGGACACGTGGAAATAAGGTGGTTCGATCCCCGGGCAGATATAATTAAACATATACAAACAATGAATCAATTCATAAAAAAATAAGTCGTATTCGGTATCTTCTGTCCGCAACGGTTATGACTTTTATAGAACGTAATTCGAATATAACTTATAACTTTTTTATTTATTGGCCAAATTTCACGATATTTTGCATGTTTAAATCATTTTATTATTATTAAACATCGTATCAAGAAAAATAAATAATAAAATAATCAATTTATAAAAAAAATAAGTCGTATTCAGTATCTTTTGTCCGCAACGGATATGCCTTTTATAGAAAACGCAACGAATATAACTTATAACTTTTTTATTTATTGACCAAACTTAACGATATTTTGCATGTAAAATCATTTTATTATTTTTAAACATCGTATCAAGAAAAAATAAATAATAAAATAATCAATTTATAAAAATTAAGTCGTATTCGGTATCTTCTGTCCGCAACGGATATGCCTTTTATATAGAAAACGCAATGAATATAACTTATAACTTTTTTTATTTATGGACCAAATTTTACGATATTTTGCATGTAAAAACATAATATTATTATTAACCATAGTATCGAGAAAAATAATAATAAAATAATCAATTTATAAAAAATAAGTCGTATTCGGTATCTTCTGTCCGCAACGGATATGACTTTTATAGAACGTAATTCGAATATAACTTATAACTTTTTTATTTATTGGCCAAATTTAACGATATTTTGCATGTAAAATCATTTTATTATTATTAAACATCGTATCAAGAAAAATAAATAATAAAATAATCAATTTTATAAAAAATAAGTCGTATTCGGTATCTTCTGTCCGCAACGGATATGCCTTTTATAGAAAACGCAATGAATATAACTTTTTATTTATGGACCAAATTTAACGAAATTTTGCATGTAAATTTATTTTATTATTTTAATACATCGTATTAAGAAAAAAAAAATATAAAAAATAATTACTTTGTAAAATATAGGTCATATTCGGTATCTTCTGTCCTTCACGGATATGACTGTTATAGAAAACGCAACGAATATAACTTATAACTTTTTTATTTATTGACCAAACTTAACGATATTTTGCATGTAAAATCATTTTATAATTATTAAACATCGTATCGAGAAATAATCATAAAAAAAATTAATCAATTCATAAAAAATAAGTCATATTCGGTATCTCCTGTCCGCCACGGACATGACTTTTATAGAACGTAATTCGAATATAACTTATAACTTTTTTATTTATGGACCAAATTTAACGCAATTTTGCATGTAAATTCATTTTATTATTATAAAACATAGTATCAAGAAAAATTTATAAAAAAATAATTACTTTGTAAAATATAGGTCATATTCGGTATTTATAGTGATATCCGCGGATATCACTCATATTTGGTATTAAGACATACCGCTTCCAAACACAATAAAAAATATCCTTTTTACAACCGCTGGTATTTTAAATCAAAGCATTTAATAACTAGAATGGTTTTTGTCACAAAAACATATGTCTCCCAAAACTTAATGTATAGTCGCTCATGTGAAGTTTCACTGAAATCCAACCAGTAGTTTGACATGTGAAGGCCGGACAAGATTTTCTATTTTTAGCTCTGGTGGCCATTTTGTGCAGCGAAGTTGGACATGCCGGTGATGTGCACATCTAGGGATGGTCCTTATCACTCCTGTAGTTTGGTTGAAATCCCACCAGTAGTTTGACCTGTGAAGGCCTGACAAGATTATTCCAGGATAAAGCACACTATCAGTGCAAAATATGCAGGCTCCAATTTTGAGTATCAATTAGATTCAATATTACCAAGCAACCAGGTTGTACTTGAACAGTTTAATATGCATTTGGGCTTGAAATACAGAGTAAGGTGCAGTATAACACCTGCACTATTGCTCATGATAAATGAACTGATATTTATCACTTGTTTATTCGGAAATAATTACATATCCGAAAATGTATACACTTTCAGTTTGTGTACAGTATTTTGTATGTATTCTAGCACTTCAATTCGCCATGCATATCTTAGGAAAGTTAGATAATATGATAGTTTTGAATAAAATGTAATTAAAAGCATCACTGATGTGAATGCAAAACCATATATATAGCAGTAAATTATGCAAATATGCCTACTTATTTGAAAAGCTTGTCTTCCAAATTAATTGCTTATGGAAACGAGGCTGCATCATTATCGGTTGGCTGCACCTAAATATTTTCTAATTTGAACACCGCTAAGTATTTTCCTTCTCAAAGCTTTGCCAAGGAAAACAATTTTCATATTTAACAGAGCTTTAAAGAGAGAGGCTTACATAAAGTTGTTGCATCTTAGTTGTTTTTTTTTTCTTGTTTTTTTTTAATGCGTTTACCGTACACTCAAGTCGGGCCATCCTAGAGCGTCCCGCCGAGATTTTTTCGTCGATTTTTTTCCAGCTTTTATTGGTGGAGGAAGACCCCAGGTGCCCCTCCGGGCATTATTTCAGGCACGAGCGGGCACCCGGGTAGAACCACCGACCTTCCGTAAGCCAGTTGGATGGCTTCCTCACATGAAAGATTTCGACCAAAGTGAGGATCGAACCTACAGCGGTGAGGGACCAGTGATCTCAAGTCAGCGACCTTAACCACTCGGCCACGGAGACCCCTCTTAGTTCTCTCAATGGTTTTCTATTTATAAAAATCAAGATGTTGTTGTTGTCGGTTTTTTTCTTCAATGTTCATTGCTATAGCTATATCGAGCATGCAAAGTGAAATAAACAACGGGTTTAATTGGACTCTAGTTACACACGGACCACTTATAGCTGGATACATATTATAAGAATCTTACAACGGCTTACATTTTGACTCCTGATGAAAATTGATTATATTTGGTTATTTTCCTTTATGTGTCTATTAATTAAGACTGTCACTCCTGAGGTTCTGGGTTCGATCCTGGGTAACAACCTTTTGATTTTTCAGAAACATTTTCAGTGTTTCCCACCTACCTAGAGGTATACTTGTAAGAAATCTTTGTTATCCTCACATTTCATGCTATACATGAGGTAAAAAAAAAAAACCAATATCTATAAAAAAAGAGCAAGGAACGGGTTTCCCCTTTCCCCCTGTATCTCAAAACTGTCTTGGACTTTGAGGAAAGGGACCCTAGGGAAAAAAGGGGGGTTAAATAAAAGGGTTTATCCTTACCCCGGCTAAAAAAAATCAATCAATATGATTTTTTTTAATTTTAAGGACTAATTATATGGGTGTCATTTCATTCCCACCAAGGATATCCAAGCCTCGTGAAAATGTTGGGGTTTTTTTGCAGTCCAAAATGACAATTGTTTTTGTAAAAATAACCCTCTTGTTTCTGTTGGTTGTAAATTATGGAATGAGTTACCACCTTCAATAATTAATGTTTCACAGTGTTAAATGTTTAAGGTTACTGTCAAAAACCAATTTTTAAGTCAAGTTTTATAATACAGGAGACAAGATACAAGAAAATTTTATTTTAAGACGGTTTACATATTACAAGAAACATTAGGTAATAAGCTATTTACCGACAATAACAAAGACATAAAACATATTTACTAACATATAACAGATATGAAAGTATAAACATATAAAACTAGTAGCAACTTTAGGCATGAAATAAAAGAAGCAAGGTTAAAAAGAACTATAAATAAGATGACAAATTCAAGCAAAGTATGATGACATGCACAGTACATATTGTATTAAAGGTACATGTACTAACAGTTTTTAAAAAAGTAATAAATGACTGTAGTATAGAATCATGAGCTGACAATTTAAGTATGATACATGTAGCAATGTGAAATAAATCAAAATAATTATAATAAAAATATAAAATTAATAAAATAGTAATAGTTATTAGTTAACATCTACAAGTTATACATAATTGAAGATTTACTTTAAAAAAATAATAAAATGACTTACGTAAAAAAAGTACATAAAAATTATGATAGAAATAAAACACCATGAAAAAAAGAAAGAAAACAGATAAAGCACATACAGGGTAACAAACAAAGTTAACTAAAATTAAGTTGCGTGCACAGCCTAATGTAAGGGAAAATAAGGAGTTTTAATTTGAACAAAACATACAAATCAGACAGCAACGATACAACTTGCATAAAAATAGGGGGTTTAAAGGAAAACTAACATACAACATATAATCAAAGCATCATAGCAAACTAAAAAGGGATGCACAAAAACAAAAACAATAATTATTAATTATTATAGACAAAGAACAAATCGTCGTTTACAAAAATGGCCATGCCACGCGAAAATCTCACGGTCATATGGTTTGGGTTATGGCTTTAGTCCTTAAATTGTTCATTGAGGACCCTCCAAAGTTGTACAAAATCGAATTTGCAAAGGAATCGAACAATTGGTGCTTTGACGGCTAGCACTAGAACATGGTGTTCTTTATACACTTTATATAGACAAAGAACAAATCGTCGATTACAAAAATGGCCATGCCACGCGGAAATCTCCAGAACATATTGTTTGGGTTAGGGTTGTGCTGCTTATTTCGTACAAAGTAAACCCTCCAAAGTTGTACAAAAACGAATTTTTAACGGAATCACACTAATGGTGTTTTGACGGCTGGCTCTAATATACGGTGTTTTTTATACACTTTATATAGGCAAAGAACAAACCGTCCCTTACAAAATGACCATGCCATACGGAAATCTGCAGAATCAGGGCTGGGAATCAAAACTGCGTCGTATCCTACAAAATGTAAACAAACGCCGCCATCTTGGAACGAAAAACGTATGTTTTTGTTTATACCTTTTTTTGTTGGAAATGCTTGAAAACCAGATATATGTATTAACACGCTACACTATTTTCCGCTTCGTTCGGTATATGTCGCTTGCACAACTATTTTGTAAAACAAAAGTTATAGCGAACTTGCATCTCGAAGCGGGGCAGATTTTTTATGAAAATGTGTGGATACGACGCAGTTCATATCGCTTTATCTATCGTTTTTTACTTCAAATCAATTATATATTTGTTTCAGAGTTCACCATAAACTTCGAAATATAATTTTGCATCATTTACTTAAATTTCATAAAAAAAGAGATGTTCATTTTCTTAGAAAATAATGATTTTTACGAAATGATACGACGCAGTTGAAAATAAAATATGATACGACGCAGTTGTATTTTTGGCAGTCTTTTCAATAGGGATAATTTTGGCAAACTATTTCTATTTTATGGAATAATCACTTGCGCTAGATAAAAAAAAACCCAGATCATTTGCGGTGTATAGCAATGTTCTGTTGCTTTTGATTATTTAGAATACATTGTGTCATGTCCAATATAACATTTAATTTGAAAGTTTACATTGCGGAAGCTACTTTTCAGTTAAACATGAACATGTTACCTAATTGATCATAATATCTAAAATAATTTCTTATGTTTTCCTGTATGTTCAATATTATCCCTAATTTATTTCGCAAAAAATATAGAAATCTATTAACTTGAATTTATGTTGGCTAGCTACGCTCTAAGTTAATTGTGGAAATATAGAAATCTATTAACTTGAGTTCATGTTGGCTGGCTACGCTCTAAGTTAACTGTGGTTCTGCATGTTCTGGGTAAAGACTGTTTTTTTTGTGGTTTGTTTTCAAACTTTCACTCTACACATTAGCTTTACTAGGGGCGAGGACCTCAGGTGCGCCTTTGTGCATTATTTCAGACAAAATGTTGCACCTGCAGAGAACCATCGACATTTTGAAACTAGCTTGATAGGTTTTTCCACACGAAAGAATAAAAGAACCTGATGGTTTCGAATTCCATAGCAGTTCAGTTCAAGTGATTTGAATTCAGTAAACATAAACAGCTCGGCCACGGTCGGACACACCTGTCTGATTTGTTTTTTCAACAAAATTTGATAACGTCTGCTAATAAGCAGCTTTTTTTATTAACTTCTGGCGTGAAGTTTTAAGATTATAAATATTTGAATTAATTATAAAGAGAATAACATTTAAATTTCTTATTTCGGTATGACTAGCAGAGAAATTTTCAATGTAAACAGGGGGTAATCCTCTGTGAAGTCATTTTCTGAAAACATTTGTTTAAGTTTTCAGGCAATTCATTATCAAATAAAAATCACACTTTAGTATGAAGGTATGTTAAGATGCCATGTCTCTAGTCTGTTGAAAATTCGATGTGATAATCTGACCTAAATTTTCTGTTTAATATTGTGAAAACTTCTTCAATACTGTTGAAAGATCATGTCTGCCTGTATCTGTATCACATTTATCGGTGCACAGCGTTATATACCTTTGCAAAACGGACACCTTCTTTACAAAATAATCTGTAGTTGTATCATTCATATATAAATTTAAAGTTTTTTAATGGAGAAGAATGATACTTAAGTGCAAATATAGAAAATACATTCCGTAGACCTTTCCTCATCGGCGATAAAGAAATGCAATACGACAAAATCAGAGGTAAAGTTTCGCGGCGCTGAACATAAAATGACTAAACGGAACGCATAATATAGTAGCTTAACCATTTATAATATAATTTTAAAAATTTAAAGTTTAGTTTCAAATAATAAAGCTCATCTGTTCTCACCGATTATTAAGAAAATGAATACAATAAAATCGCCACGTAAAAGACATAAGTAATAACGGAATTGACGGAAATTATTGCTAATTACAAGTAACAAAGGTAGGCATGCAATTTGCGCATAGCTCTCTTCCGATAGCAAGAGACCTTTTCAAAATTTGTAATTCTTTCTCTCTTTTTTTTTAAAAAAAAAAAGGTCATTCCTGATTAATACTAGTACAGGGTCCAGGAGAGGTTACACTGGAATCAAAAATAGTAATCACTCCCATTTCGAACTCACGGGAACAATTTTAGAAGCATGCTAAACAACACTGGAACACGTTGTCATATGGGTGTGCGATCACGTGTTTCAATGTATATTGCATTTGATACAGCTTCTCGGAATTTTGTAGATGCTTATGGTAGGTACTGAAATGCGACTGGAAAATGCAGCCTTAATAGAATTGTATTACATTTTCATTTTTATGGAACCAATGAGTGACCTCTGCTTTTGATTTAAGTTGTTGTTGGACGTTATTAGCATACCTAGCACATAATTTAAATAGTTTAAAACCAATATGCAGCCTGCAATGAAAATACAACTGCGTCGTATCATATTTTGTTTTGAACTGCGTCGTATCATTTCCTAAAAATCATTATTTTCTAAAAAAAAAAACATCTCTTTTAATGAAAATTTAGTAAATGATG